TTGCTACAGCTTTTACATTATCCAGTGTTGGGTGGGCAGACCTCTGCTTCTGTGAAGGAACTTTTAACCCCCTTGCTTTACCCCGGAATTCCCCTTCACCGCATCTGCTCTGAAGTATCCCCTGGCCCTCTACAGCAGATTTTTAGGGATAATGAAACTGCAGGAACAAGGGAGTATGTATTTCCATTTTGTATTGGCAGATGATAGTGTTGAGTAGAATCCTCTACAATTGTAAGTTAAGTGTTCTGGAATTTCTCATTAATATTTCATTGATCTGTAGCAGCTTCTAACTGTGTAAAGAAGCATTTAAAGCAAAATTATAAAGCAGTCACTCTGCAAGCACCTCAGAAAAAATGCAGTAATAACTAGAATCCCATCAGGATTCATCAAGACAAATCCTGCTTGTCTAAACTTATCTTATTTTTTTAAACTGGGTACCTTCCCTGGTAGACAGTGGGAATGCTATAGACGTAATATATCTTGACTTTAGCAAAGCATTAACAAATCCCCAAAGCTTCAAATTGCTAACTAGGTGTGGACTGGATAGAACAACTGTCATGCAAATACACAGGTAGTTACAGAATCATACTTGGAGAGTGCCTATCAATGGCTCTTTCTCAGACTAAGAATAGGTAACAAGTGGGGTACCACAAGGATCAGTTCTGGGCTTTGTGCTCTTCAGCCTTTTTATAAATGACTTGGATGAGGGGGCGCAGGAAATATTTACCAAGCTTGCAGATGACACAGAATTTAGTGGAATAGAAGACAGGAACAAAATTCAAAAAGATCTTGATAGGCTTGAGCACTATGCTGAAAACAACAGAATGAAATTTAACAGGAATAAGTGCGTTGTTCTACACATGGGGGGAATAAATGCACAGCTACAAAATGGGAGATACTAGGCTTGGTAATACTACAAGTGAGAACGATCTTTGAATTGTTACAACAGAATGAAATTTAACAGGAATAAGTGTGTTGTTCTACACATGGGGGGGGGAATAAATGCATGGCTACAAAATGGGAGATACTAGGCTCGGAGTATGAGGCCACAGTGCAATGTGGCTACAAAAAAGGCAAAAATGATTTTAGGATGCATTAACAGAAATATAGTCTCCAGATCCTGTGGGGTACTGTTCCTCCTCTATTCACCACTGGCTGGGCCTCATCTAGAGTACTATGTTCAGTTCTGAAGAAGGATACGAACAAACTGGGGCAAGTTGAGAGGAGGCAGCAAGAATGATCAGAAGACTGGAAACCAAGCCCTTATCTAGAGTACTATGTTCAGTTCTGAAGAAAGATGCAAACAAACGGCGGCAAGTTGAGAGGAGGCAGCAAATACTTTTCAAATACTTAAAAGTTAGTCATACGGAGGAGGGCCAGGATCTGTTCTTGATCATCCCAGAGCACAGGACGCATAATAATGGGCTCAAGCTACAGGAAGCCAGATTTAGGCTGAATATTAGGAAAAACCACTTTCTTAACTATTAAAAGTGGAACCAGTTACCTACGGAGGTGGTGAGCACTCCAACGTTGGGGGGCACTCAAGAGAAAATCTTGGACAACTTTCTGTCAGATCTATTTTGATTTGGATTTCTGCATCAAGCAGCAGATTGGACTCGATAGCCTTCTAGAGTCTTTCCAACTCAATTATTGTATGATTCTGTACTTGCATGATTGTATGATTCATATAGTAACTCCAACTGTTATCCCTTCTTAAATTTCCAGTACATTTGTAAACATTTAAATTGTTGTAGTTTAGTTCTGTAGAAATTGTGAATTCTGCAGAGATTATGTTGCAGAACATGTAGACATTATGGCTTACTAGACCCTATATCTCTGGGATCACCATAAAACAAAATGTGATCTTCCTTTTCCTCCAGAAGGAACGGGCAAGCTCCGGCCTAGTTGAATGTTAGAAAAGAAAACTGCCAGTGGTGCTTGCTGGGAACTTCCTGTTCTAGGCAACTAGCCTGGAGTTTGCCCTTTCCTAGGCCATGAAGCCTTCTAGCTTGATCTTTCTCCAGGTGAGTGCAATTTAGATGTCTGTCTGGCAGGAAGAACTCCCAGAAAGGAGAATTCTGGGATGTGGAGTCCCCCCCCCCAAAAAAAGGAACATACCTGTCATGTCATCAGCAATGTAAAGTTGTCGTCCTACCATATCTGGAAGATCACAGATTTCCCCAGAAATAGGTGAAGATGGGTGACATTCATGCTAGTCAAAGAAGGAGGTGGAATGGAGCATAGATGCTTGGAAAAGAAGTGCCTTACATAAAGAAAATAAAGGTGGCATTCAAGGAAAAAAAACACAGCTGATTTAAAATGATCTCTGAATGACTTTCCCAGATACTTTGGTTCCTCTGATATTGACTAGAATTGCCTATACTTACTGTATGGTCAGTATCCAGTGAAGGCTTCCACTTTGGGAAGAAGCAACATTCTCAACAATGAGGAGGCAGGCTGTCTCCAGTTCCTAATGCAGCCCTCCTCATGTATCCTAGGAATTTTCTCTAGAGGACTGGAAAGCTATTGAAAGCTGTTTTTCAAGATGTTCTGAGAAATGCAGTAAGAGGAAACAATGGGATGCCAGTATGATGTAGGATTTAGTACCACTGTGTTTTTCAATTTGAGTTGTTTCTGAAGGGGTCGAGTTGTCCTGCAGAACACAAGAACTGTAAAATTGTTGTTTTTCCTCTACATAAAAATTTAAGCTTTCAGGAATCTGAAGATATGTTTTTGTTTAGTAAACAGAGCATCCCTAACTCACATTCAGTTTTAAGTGGTGCCTCGACTTACGAATGTCTTGATTTGCAACCATTTTGAGTTATGACCAGCTCCGGCCACAGAATTTTGCTTTAACTTGTGACCAAATTTTTGAGTTACGACTGGAAAAAAGGCGGGGAATTTAAACTGCTAACCATTGGTTGGCGAAGAGGCTGCTTCTTTGTACGTAGCTCTTTCGCCCCAGCGGTTAGAGAGTGTGTGTTTGGATGCGGCTTTGGGCTGCCTGGTAAAGTAAGGTACTGCTTTCTGCTTTTTAAAATGCCTGTTCTGAGTAAGTACAGGGCTTTGCAGCGTGGATTTGGGCTGGGGGGGTGTTATGTTTCTGTGCCGGAATGGATTAATCGCGTTTCTGATGCGTCTTGCAGTCTTTGTTTGCTTTTTAATGTGTTTTCCCTCAGCCGGAACGGGTCAATCGTGTTTCCGATGGGACTTGCAGTGTTTTTTGTTTTTCGAGGTGTGTTTTTTTCCGGCCAGAATGGATTAATGGAGTTTCAATGTATTCCTATGGGAAATGGTGCTTTGAGTGACAACCAACTTGAGTTACGACCATCTTCCGGAACCCATTAAATTCGTAACTCAAGGCACCACTGTATCCCTAAAGATTTCCAAATGGCCTATCTTGTCACTGACAGGTGACTCGTGGGCAACTGTAAAATAAATAAATTTGTTTGTTACTTTGTTTAACTTGTATACTGCTCCAGGTAGTGATAAATACTACTCTAGTCAGTTTACATCCAGAATGCAACAAACATAAAATAAAATAAATCAAAATATAATAAAAGGGAACACCACATATACTGTAATAAATAAAACAATAAAAGACAAACAATGGCAAAAAGGTAATCTAAAAATAATGAGTCATATCACATTAGGTAGGTAGGTAGGTAGGTAGGTAGGTAGGTAGGTAGGTAGGTAGGTAGGTAGGTAGGTAGGTAGGTAGGTAGGTAGGTAGGTAGGTAGGTAGGTAGGTAGGTAGGTAGGTAGGTAGGTAGGTAGGTAGGTAGGTAGGTAGGTAGGTAGGTAGGTAGGTAGGTAGGTAGGTAGGTAGGTAGGTAGGTAGGTAGGTAGGTAGGTAGGAGACAGATAGACAGATAGACAGATAGACAGATAGATATTCAGAGACTTAAAGGTTGTGTGATAGAGCTACCATTTCCTTTAGCCTAGGCATTACTCTTTCCTCACATTTCCATGGACAAAAAGGATTTTGTGCATTTTCGTCCGTTCAGGGTTTTTTTTTGGTTGGGGGAGTCTCCTGGCCTAAATCTTGAGGCAGAGGGAAGATCACAGAGTTGCCTTCAGCCCTTCTAGAGACTGTAAGGAGTGTTGTTGTTTTTATTTTAAAAATACAACAATCAAGAGTTAGGAAGATGCTGAGGTCTACTTTTAGGTCCCTGGGAGTGCATGTGGCCCATGGACTGCACCTTGTCATAATCTAATATAGTCCTTCAATGCAAAATAAAATAAAAATGTAGGTAACAAGGATCCTCTCATATCATCCTCAGACTTGTGAAAGAATTGTTGCTTGGATCTTGGTTTCTCTGAATTTGCTACTGACGGTTGAGATATGGCATGGTGGGCTATAGCAGGAAGCGGAGATCAATGAAAATATGGGGCAGTGCCCCTCCCTGTGCACAAGCATGAGTACTTTTTGCTCAGCTGAATAAATCTTTACGTCCCAAGTCGTTGGTCAGATTAAATATTGCCAGTCTACACTTGCATAAGAGAAACTGTGTAAGTCACTATGACAAATTCCTTTTCACTAATGCACCCCCGGGTGCATAGATTCAGCAAGTAGCTCAGCTTGCCATCAGAACATTTTCCGTTGCTCAAGCATAAATTATCAATAGGATTTGGTCATTGTCAATATGTACCAGTATAACAAAGTATTTGAAACAAAATAGTCAAAATTTTGTCTCATGTTGCCTGTCAGCATCCTTGCTTAGTGGAGAAAATTCAGATTACTGTATAAGTATTGTATTTCCTTAGAAGAATGTGAGAAGTTCAATTGGGCATTATTTGTGCCCAACCGTTGCATCTTAGAACAACCGTTGCATTAGAAGTTCAATTGGGCATTATTTGTGCCCACCTAAGAACAACCATTGCATCTTAGATGTTGAAATTTTAAAAAGAAATGAAGGCCATGAGATGAGATACATCTCTTGGCTTGTTTCTTAATTTATTATTTCTCATTTTGATGGATATTTGTTTTCTTTCCATAGGATTTCCAACTGGAATATGGTCAGAGTCCCCAAGGCAGTTACTTCTTGGGGGCAAATAAGTGAGTATTGCTTAGAGACTGTATTTGTCCATTCTTCTTTTTCAGTGGTTTGAATGTATGGATTGATTTAATCAGAAATTTTAACATTTGTACTATGGGACTCGTAAAATAAAAATTAATTATTTAGCTGCAAGGTTCCCTCAAAGGCGGGTGCGCACAGGACTCCACCTCCCTTTATTCCTGCTCTGCGCAGGAATCATGTCTGGTTCCCGTCATGATGGAACTCTGCAAGCAAGGGGGGGTGGAGGCGTGCGCACAGGGGTGAAATCACGAGAGAAAGAGAGGTGGAGCGCTGCCCAGCAGGGCTGAAAATTGGAGGGTACCTTGTTCAGATGGTATTTTGAGACAACTGTTTGGCTACTGTACTTATATCTGTGTTTAAGGGATTTTTATGTGTCTGTGTATATGTGTACAATGTTTGAAATGTCTTAGTGTCATGGGTTTAGACAAGTACTTGTTGCTTCTGCAGTGATTAAGCCTCCCGAAACAAGCAGCAATTCTAATAAATTACTTCTTAAAAATGTACTTCCATGCTGCAAGCTAGAAACTTAAAAGTAAAAAAGTTAGAATTAGTTTAAATATGAAAACTGCCAGTTTCCCCTCTTTATCATCCCCTGGCATTGTCAGTCCATGTGTTGCATTACATGGGCTTTATACTAGGGTTTCCCCTCTTTTTGTACACTATAGCCTTTATTTAAGCTATACCTGCTATAGTCTAGAGGTGACTGCCAGGCAGAATGATTAACATGCTTGTGTACAGTATGTTTAAGAGTACTCTGTAATTTGCTCAAAATCATTTACTTCAGATTGTTTCATCCGTTCTCTCAAATAACTGATGACATTAATTGCATGGCTTCTATATGTTAAATCATTAAAAAAACAACTATGTCTGATTTTCTGTGCTTCTGCTAAATGTGTCCAGTCCTTCAATTTTGCTTCTGTTTTTAAAGGAGCCTTCTAAAATCAGTTGAAGAAGAACTGCATCAGCGGTAATTCTTAACTTTTTTTCCTCTTGATTACAAAGTCCTTTTTTCTTGTACTCAGATATATATGTGTTTTTTGTATTTCTCTCTGTCTCATGCTATTTGTTTGGCAATATTCTTGTCGGGGTTCTTAACAGGACCCCTTGGTTATTTGTCTTGCAACTGTCATTTATGTACTTTGAGAAAATGCAATCATTTTAGGACCGCAGAAAGCAAATCTTTGATAGATGGGGACAAGTTGACAGCTTATGCTGTGGCCTGATATTCTGTTTAATTCCTTAGGGGACATGTGGCACATCTAGAAGATGAGGAAGAGGTGGACAGCGATGATTCTAAACAGTGAGTTCTGTTAATCTTAAAGGTATATATAGTGCTTGGATGCTTGAGGAAGGCACATTAAAATTTATGGTGTGCATGGAAATATTTTTATCTTGTTCAGCTTCCAGTAGGAGCGGTTAGTCTGTGGCCCTTTATTTGTTGTTGGACTACAACTCCCATCAGTCGTAAGTCACCATAAGCCAGAAACCAGGGATAGTGGAAATAATACTCCACTGCCATCTAAAAGGCCACCCATCTCTGCTTTAGATAAGTATTGCTGTCTTTGTAGGCACCCTTCTGGCAAAAGAAAGAAGTGCAGAATGCTGGTTTAAATAGCTTTTCCCTCTTGTTGCAGAAGTGGGTGGCTATGGTTACAGAGCAGTCGGGGATGCTATCTTTTCAGCCTTTTGAACTTCCTGTGATGTTTTACAGAAGCTTGCACCAAAAAACTTGGTGCGGGATTGTGTATGCTTTGAGAGAGTATTGTGAACAAAAGCAATGTTCTACACTTTGTGTCCTATTAATCTAAGCTTGGAGAACATTAAAGGGTTTTGTGTGTGTGTGTGCGTGTGTGTTGTGTTGTTTTTTTGTTTGTTTTTTGATAACTTGGGAGGATTTGGGAGTTATAGTCCATAAAAATAACTTTTCAACACTCTGGCTTTAAACCCCCTTAAAATTGTGTCCTATTAATCTAAGCTTGGAGAACGTTTAAGGGTTTTGTGTGTGTGCGTGTGTGTTGTGTTTTTTGTGTGTGTTTGTTTTTTGATAACTTGGGAGGATTCGGGAGCTATAGTCCATAAAAGTAACTTTTCAACCCTCTGGCTTTAAACCCCCTTAAACCCCCAGCTTTCTAGGGTTCTCAACCAGGAACAGGGCCATTGGCAAGCGGGTAGCTGTTTCCAAGTAACGTTGTGTGTGTTATGTGTCATTAAGTCATGTCTCACTTATAGCAACCCTAAATAGAGTTTTTCAAGGTATGTGAGATATTTAAGAAAGGCATTTAACCATTGCCGCCCCACCCACCCCCATGAGTTTTCCAGGCTGAGTAAAGATCTAAAACGGGGTCTCCTGAATCCTAGTCCATCATTCTATCCATGACACAACACTGACTTTCCTACCAAATGATACCATCCTGAATAAAATCTTTGCCTTCTTTGTCATAATTGAAACACCATCCTGAAGCACTTATAATGTTCATGCCTGTTGCCTGTTTGTAAACAAACCATTTCCTCAGTAATATGATATTGTGCTTTCACTTCACTGTAGCACTCATTCTGATTTGGTGTGGATGTCCTGTTACCCTTGAAACAAACCAAGATATTTAAGATTTGCTTCTTGATAGTAGTTCTATGCATGTAGAACTAAGAAGAAAATCTCATTGATTTCAGTAGGACTCACTCTAGACAAGGGATGCAGTCTTAATCCATAGATGTAAACCCATCTTTACATTACCTTGAGAGTTATCATTTCAGTGTTTATGAAAAATCACAAACATACTGTTATTTAACAAGACAGACTTGGCATTTGGAAAAAGACAAGTGAGGTGGCAGAATGTGATTGTTTGAGCTGTACTTACTCACAGCTTTTCTTCACCATTTCATTAAGTCCAGAAACATCCTTTCAAAATATTTTAGTATAGAGAGACTACATCCACATCCCTCCCTCCCTCCCTCCCTCCCTGCCTACCTACCTACCTAATGTCATATGATTCATCAGTCAACAATATTGACCTTCTATATTAATTATCACAGGTTACACTCAGACCCCCAAACTATCCTTCTGTCCCTGATCCAGACTCAGACTCTGACTGACTGACTCTCAGGCTCTGCCTTTTGGCCCCGCCCCTTAACCACATTAACATATAACATGAATAATGCATAACTTACAATGCATAACTTAGGGTGAATGTCACAGTACATATACTTAAACTTCTGTTTTAAAAAGTCGGGAGATTCAATTCTTCAAGAAAGCTCCAGTTTATAAATGTGGGATATTGTGCTTCTATACCCATCATTCAAAATGACAAGAAATGGCCCAATATTAATGCACAATACCATGCCCATTGCCAGCAGGAAAAAGAATGCCAAGGTTTACATAATAAAGGGCAGCCTGAATGTTGACAACACCAATGGCAGTCAAGGTGGTCTCTTATGGTGCGAAAAATACGGTACTTAAACTTCTGTTTTAAAAAGTTGGGAGATTCAATTCTTCAAGAAAGCTCCTGTTTATAAATGTGGGATATTGTGCTTCTATACCCATCATTCAAAATGACAAGAAATGGCCCAATATTAATGCACAATACCATGCCCATTGCCAGCAGGAAAAAGAATGCCAAGGTTTACATAATAAAGGGCAGCCTGAATGTTGACAACACCAATGGCAGTCAAGGTGGTCTACAGGATAACCTATTGCGCTCACTACTGTCCGCGCTGATCAAAAACAGTCCTGACATAAGAAATGGTTAACTGATGAAAACAGGAATCCGCTTCTGGGATTTCCCCTTTCTTGGTGTCACGTCGTGAGCAGAAGAGGGTATCCTGTGTAGACAGTTTTGACTGCTACCATGGGTGTTGTCAATGTTCAGATTGCCCTCCGCTATATAAAGTTTGGCGTTCTTTTTCCTGGTGGCAATGTGGAAATGATATTGTGCAGCACTGAAACACAGTATCCCACATTCATAAAAAGGAGCTTTTTAAAGAATTAAATTAAAATAAACTACTGTGTTTCCCCGAAAATAAGACAGGGTCTTATATTAAATTTTGCTCTTAAAAAACATTAGGGTTTATTTTCGGGGGATATTCTATTTTTTCATGTACAACAATATGCATTTATTCTAATACAGTTTTGTCGTCTTCTTCTGGTTGCTGCACAATGATGGGGGGTGCGGTTTCAGTTCACTAGGGCTTATTTTTGGGATAGGGCTTATATTACGAGCATCCTGAAAAATCATACTAGGGCTTATTTTCAGGTTAGGTCTTATTTTCGGGGAAACGGTACAGTGCTTGCTTTTCCATCTCAGCCTAAATCAATTGAATGATACTTTTCAAACATTAATTACATTGTTTTTCTTAGGATTGCTAGACATGTATAATTCTTAATTTTCCTCTTGTAGTTCCACTATGAAACCAAAAGTGCCACCACCTTTACCGCCAAAGGTAAGAAGGGTTGTCAAGTGTACTTAGTTGCTTGATTCAGGTGTAATGATCCTTGTTCAATAAACCACAGTCCATTGGATCAGAAATACCGTATTTGCCAGCATATAAGACGACCCCCCCCAACATTTCCACTCAAAATATAGAGTTTGTTATATACTCGCCATATAAGACTACCCCCTCTTCCGCATGTGTGATTCTGCTTTGGCTACATCATGGGGAGAGTTCGTTTTGCTGCTTTTGGTTCCTTTCGCTGGGAGAGAGCGAGGGTTTGCTGGAAGCAGGACAGCATCGGCTGTCCTTCTGGGTTTGACTGGTTGTTTAAGCGGGTTGGGGAGCTATAATTTGCTTTCATTGGGGGGTTTGCTTTTAAGGAGTAGCACTTTTTTCTTTCTTTAAAGTAAGACTTGCTGGCCTGACTTCTTGCTGCAGTGCCGTGGTTTTGCCGCCCGTCATGGTGCAAGCCTCGTTAAGTGAGCAACAATCAAGAGGGCTGGTCCGTGGGGGTGCGGTAGCCTTTAGCTACCCCCTTGTTTGTGTGTGTGAGTGTGTGGGTGTGTGTATCTGTGTGTGTATGTGAGTACATGTGTGTTGCTTTTTAATTTTTGAAGTGCACCCGGCGTATAAAATGACACACACACCCCTTGGAGGCATGTTTTTCAGGGCAAAAAAGTCATCTTATACGCCGGCAAATACGGTAAGTTGTGTGCCCACATGCATTCCATTCTAGCCCCTCCCTCCCACTTGATTCTCTCATTACATGCCTGGCTTTGGCAAGGATGTTCTGGCTTTTTAAGCTTAAACTAAGCTTTAAACTCATTATAGTTTGTTGTGCTCTGGTCCATGGGGTCACGAAGAGTCAGAAACAACTTAACGACTAAACAACAACAAAAGGTTTGTTGTGAATTGAGTGAAACAACAAACTAGTTTTTTTTTACTAGACGTAGATGCTCTGATCATCTTGTGTGCATGAGAAAAAAAGGGGAGTGCATGAGCCTAAGACTTGCTTAGTGTTACATAGGTCTAAAGCTTTCGTTTCAAACAGTTGCTTCTTAGAAGCTTGCTTTTTCAAACAGTTAGCTCACTACTCAGGTTATTTTTAGCTTCAAAATGCAGAGCTGTTTTCCTGAATTGCAGTCATTCATGTATCTGTATTTTTAATACTTAAGTTACTATTTTAAGTTAATACCATTCAGTGGAAACACATCTGGTATGTGTATAATTTTGGCAACCAATCACCTGAATTATCCTTTTTTCACATCATGCAATAAATAACTGGGGAAGTTTTCTGTAGCACTTTCCTAAGTCATTCATTCTCAGTCAGAAAATGTCAGTAGAATTGCTTAATGTGTGGTTTCTCTTCTTACATGTTTTTCTCCACTGAAGGCAACTCTATGCACAGTTAAAGTAGAACTATTATAGCATACTAGTTAAAATATGTGGCTTTATATCTCAGCATAAAAATTTATATTTTTTCAGCCTAAATCAATCTGCATACCACAGGAGACACATTCTTCAGAGGATGATAATCAAGGAACCATAAAAAGATGTCCGATTTCAGAGAGCCCTGCAAAATCACACACTCAGGTCCCGCCTAGACCACCACCTCCTAGGTTACCGCCGCAGAAATCTTTAGGTAATGAGTCATATTGACAAATTTTGGGGATATCTCCAAAATTCATATATGTAAGTTGCTGTCATGCACTGTCAAGTTGCTTCTGTCATACAGTGAACCTACGAATTAGAGGCCTCTGAAAGAACCTGTCATTAACAGCCGTGCTCAGCAATTGCAAACTCAAGGCTGTGGCTTGCTTTACTTAATCCAGCTTCTGTTTGGGCTTTCTCTTTTCCTGTTGTTTCAACTTTTCCTACCATTATTGTCTAATGTTATATACCATTTAGTCATCTCTGCCTCATGGTGAACCTATGAATGAGTGATCTCCAAAATGTCCTACAGCCCCACTCAGCTCTTCCAAACTCAAGCCTGTGGCTTTCTTTAGAGATTTAATCCATCTCAACAGAGATGGATTGAACAGAGTAGACCTTTGGTCTAGAGGGGAGGGATAGAAATCAAATCAATCAGTCAGTCAGTCAGTCAGTCAATCTCATATTTGATCTCCCCCTAGTCATTTTTTCTCCTGAATAGTTGAGACTTAATTTGATCTAACACCCACTTATGGCACATGGTATCTGTAAAGTTCTCCTGCAATGTCAAATTTCAAATTAATCCTTTTCCATTTGGCTTTATTCACTTCTATACAAAGTAGCTGGGAATAATTTATTTATTACTTTAATTTATATACTATACTGCCCCATTAATGACAAAGCACTATTCTGGGTGATTTACAAACAGTTAAAATAGAACTACAGCAAAACAAAACACAACACACTAAAATATCATACCAGTGATAAAACAGCGATGGCGAACCTATGGCACACGTGTCACAGCTGGCACGCAGAGCCCTCTGTGTGGGAACAAGAGCCATAAATCTCCGGATTGCTATTCCGGTTCCACCGCCGCAGCACGCCGCTCGCTGTTTTTTTATTTTTCTTCCCAGTTTGGGCACATGAGCCCAAAAAGATTTGCTGTCACTGCTATAGATGAGCTTAGCCTTGGTCTCTGGTTACACATCCTTACACTATAGGGCTTTTACTAGTTCCTTGATAGTTGCTCTACCAAGCTTCAGACTTTTTTCTGTTTTGTTGGCTTAGTGTCTATTTAGATTGATGATTGAACCAAGGCACAGAAGGTCTTTTTCACAATGATGAGACAAACCAAAGTCTTATGATGAGATACTCCAAAATGAAACATATAAATAATACAGTCTAATTTTAGAATTAAATATACAGTACATTCCCTGGAAGCACCTATACAGATGTGTAAGTGAGTTGCAAGAACAATATGCATGTGAGAAGATAGAATTCTGGTGGCTTTTCTCCAAACCTACTGAAAGCTGCATGCTCCAAAGAAGCCATCAGGGGTAGGGTAACTCCTAGTGCCAACCAGGCAAAGCCAGCGATGTTCAGGGTTGTTTATTATATGGAATAGGCCCCACATTCTACTCTCAGTTCTTTTCTCACCTCTTCATAAGAAAGTTTTTCCACTCCACTGTTACCTTAAATTCTCTTTGTCTTTGTGGCGCCTTCCAATTAGTTGTTTCTTTTTTGAGCCTTCAAAAATAAAAAAAGAGGCCATTTTCTTTCTCCCTTCCAAGAAGACGTAATTGAAAGCTTGCCTGCATAATCTAGTTTCATGTTTATAATAATTGCATGCTGATGGGAGTTAAAAAAATTAAGTGCATACAGATAGTGCTATTATTGGGAGTCTGTAGGCTTAAGTCCTTGGAAACTTCCGCATTTGTTTTGCACAGCCAACTCTTTTTTGGAAGGCTTATGACAGTAACAGAAACAACAAAACAGAAAACACTTTGTCTAATTCATTCAGATCTTCTCACCATTTTCAACTTGCCCATCAGCCTCAAAGGCAACCCAAACATGTACAAGTTGAATTGTTTCCGACTGGCTTGAGTTTAGTGAAGTGTGTGGAATTCCAAAATCAAGAATAATTTATTTGAAATGCTAACTGTACACTTACTGCCTGGACTTGGCTTTATCATGCCAAATACCTTCTGATTTTGGGAGACCTAGAGATGTAAAATTTCTGAACATTTCCATTTTTATTCTGGAAAAAAACACACTTCTAGGGAGAATTAAGAAGGAGGTGGTATTGTATTATATTGTTTAATTGCCTTTAAACTTTTTGTGTATGAAGGTAATGGACTGAATTCTGTGCAACTAAATGGTGACAGAGAGGGATCTCCCCATCAAGAGCCAAATGAAAATAGACACACTAATCTCTCTAAGAAAGAAAAGAAGGAAATACTGGTAGGTAATGCTTCAATTTCTTGTCTCCCCTTTCAGAATATGCGGAGAAATTCAAAATCAGTTTCAAAAATTCAGAATTAGCATTTTCACAAGTTGCTTTTGAAGAAGAGAGAGGAAAGGGAAGGAGAGTAAAAAATGTGGTAAAACAGCAATAAGCCCACATTGGCAACACAGTAATACTTGAGCTTTTGTGGAAAAAGAGGGGCTGTGGAAGCAAGAAAGCTGATAAGGGGAGAAACGAAAGACAGACTCATGGAATAGGAATGGTTACCTCTTCTAGTCTGCTTAAGGGAATGAGAACAGAGGTCTTCCGCATCAGTGTAAAATTCAAGACATACAGCAGCATTACAAGGTAACAACAATTTTTTCAAGTGCAGAAAGCAGACCGCCAAGCCAAGACTTCCAGTAGTGGGCCAAAGAAGGGTCAGTTGCCTGCCAGGCTAATCTTGAAAAGCATGCTGACACAGGGTGATCTAGTGAGATTTTTAAGAGAAAAAGAAGAGGGTTATAGGCAATGTGGACATCAGCAGTGCTCTCTCTTGCACAACAGCAGTGTTCAGAATGGGTTTGTGAAGGAAGACAAAGAACACTGGTGACCCAAAATTAGTAACAATTTTGGTTTTGAAACACAAAAAGCAGGTTCACAATAGAAAACAGAATTTGCACAGGATCAAAAGGAGAAAACAATTGTCCATGCTTTTCTAAACAAAAGAACTAGTGGCTGACCTGTAAATGTAGGTCTCACCAGGCTTATTTTTTCTTGTTGGTGATCTTGCTCACACCATTTAGTTGCTTTGTTCAACTTAATCCAGTGGCCGCAGCCTCTTTCTCCTTCCTTGTATTTAAATTAAATTCGAATGGCTCTTGGATATCCAAATGTTTGTTAGCCTGGACTCTGGTATATGGTTATATCTGTAGCAGTAGGCGTGCTGATTGGTTGTACAAACACATACTGTTGTGATTTGCTAACTATTGCAGTCTAAATCTTAACATACAAGGTTAAGACATACAAGATTTGAAAGACCTGTTGAGAGTATGGAGGTGTAATAAATATAAACCAGTGCTTTCCAAGTGGATACATGCCTATAGGGAAAATGTATGTGTCATATGAGTGAGATATCCAGGAGTAAGACAGGCAGATACACATTTATAGTTTATTTCATCCATTTTAAAATAGCTTTAGCATATGAAAATCTAATGTTGTTGATTACTTCATCTGAAAATTAGATGTAGTAATCTAATGTGTTGGTTACTTCATCTGAAAATTACTTAATGTGGTAGGGCTAGTTTGGTATGGTGGCCTATAAAGCAGAAGGCTCCTAGTTCTGTTCTTGTCTTTGTCAAGAGCTCCTTGGTTTGTCCTAGACAAGTCACACTCACGCTCAGCTTCAGTCCTACCATCTGCAGTATGGGGGATCATCATAATATATGTATTATATGGAGTTAACTCCCCCCCCTGCAATTCATTTGGCCCCTTCGCTGCTCATTTTTAAAAAATCACTAAGAACCTGGTTATTTAGGCAGACATTTGAACTCAGCCAAGCTTAGCTAGCCTGCCTGATTAAGTGTGCCAGCTTGAATGTTTCATGTTAATGCATTTTTATGCTTTGATTGCATTTTATTATTATTATTCATTGTTGATTGTATTTTAGTTGTGTGGTTTTATGTGTTGTAAACTACCCAGAGTGGCCCTTGTTTTGTATAAAAACAAAATAAATAAATATATAACTTATGCAATGCAGCTTTACTGTACAGGTTTGCTCTGAGTGTTACAGTTAAATTATGCATATACAGCAAAATAAATTGAAGGCTTGAAGCATGATACAGATGCTAAGTAGTTGTATTGATCTCTAAATCAGCCTCTATGAACAATCAGGGCAATCGCCCTTCCCAGGTTCAGATTTGAGGATCATAACTGATGCCCTGGGCTTCCAAATTCCAGCATCCTTGCAGAGATTATCACAGCCTTTCTTTCCCCGTCAGACATAAGAATTAAGGAATAGTGTAGCAGGGAGGGCTTTAGGCTACCTCTTCAGCTTGGAGCAGGAAAGGAAATGCATTTCCATCTGTAGCAGAATTGTGAGATGAAGGGCCACCTGCTGTGCTGAACTGCTAGCTCAGTGGTTTAGGTATGTGGCTGCAGAGCCAGAGTTCAATTCCCCACCGTGCCTCCTTGATAGCATCTGGACTCAATGAGCCATAGGGTTCCTTCAAGCTCTGCAGTTCTAAGATAAAAGACCCCAAATCTGCCTGTATGCCCCCCCCTGTTCCTGCAGTGTTTTAGCTGTACTTCAACATGCATTTTTCTAAGTCAAAATTCAAAGGTATCTGTTTTCCTCCTAGAAGCCAATTAGCAATGGTCTTCCTCCTACACCAAAAGTGCATGTAAGTATAACATCCTAAGCAATATGAACTGTACAAATGAATAGAGGGCGCTGCTGCATTCAGTCTCAATTTTAATACTCATACTTGGCATTGAAAATATTTTGCCTGTTAAAACAAATACAGTGGTGCCTCGCTAGACAGTTACCCCGCATGACAGGTTTTTTGTTAGACATTAACTTTTTGCCATCGCTATACCGATTCGCAAAACAGTGATTCCTGTGGGGGAATTTCGCTGGACAATGTTTGGTCCCTGCTTCGCAAACCGATTTTCACTAAACCACGATTTGCTTTTCGCTAGACAATGATTTTGCTAGACAGCGATTTCAGTGGAATGGATTATCATAGTTTAGCGAGGCACCACTGTATGCAGCTGCACCAGTTTTTAACTGATTGTACAGAGATAGATGGAATTCACAATATGGAATTGATGTCACTCCCAAAATAGCAACAAATAAGTTTCACACTTCATGGGTTCTTAGAAAAAGTTTTCACTTGAACATGTTTAGATTGGATCTTATTTCCTTCAGTATTCTTTAGCTAAATACCGCAGATCACCAGTGCTTGAGTCATGCGAATGGTGGGTATATAGCAGTGGTCCCCAACCTTTTTGACACCGCGGACCGGTTGGGAGGGACGGGGTCTGTACACGGTGGGCGAGGCACCCCTGCACTTGCACGCATGTGTGAAGGGGTAGGGGCGCTCATGCAGTGCTCAAGTGCACTCGCACACATGCACGAAGGGGCGGGGGCACTCGCACGGCACGCACACATGCATGTATGCGTGAAGGGGTGGGGGTGCTCGCGGGGTGTCTGTGGCCACGGCCCAGCCAATGGTTCCCTAATCTCTATTATGTGCTGTCAAGGGTGAACCCATTTATAGTGGCCCTAATAAGGCTTTCAAGGTGAGTGAGATTTAAGGAGTGCTTTTATCAGTTCCACACCCCTAGTGAGATTCCATGACTGAGTAGAGATTTGAACCCAGGCCTCCTTAATCCATCACTGTATCCACCACACCACACTGGGTATTCCTCCCTAATCAGTAATATATTTTGCATTGTTGGTCTCACCAAAATTCAGTATTTGGGAAAAAAAACCTATTGTACCTTGAAACATATATTTTATTCTTGATCTGTTAAATTCGAAATCACTTGTTTTGTGACCAAATTAGCTATATGTTGTTATTTGGCTGTCAGTATTGTACAGCAGAGATCTCCAACCTCTGGTCCGCAGCCCGGTGCCAGCCTGTGGCCTGAGCCGGACTAGGCTGCGGAGACAGACCTCCCACCCACCCCCGTCATGCACTCACCCTCGCATAGCTGATTTGTGCATGCGCGCGTGCTCCAGCACACCCGTGTGAATGCTGCGCCACCGTTTGCACATGCACACACACTCATTCACATGAGAGAACGCTTCTTCATGCATGCACACGAGCGCAAGGGGGTGCCCGACCTTCCCCAGCCGGTCTGCGGGATGAAAAGGTTGGGGACCCCTGGTGTACAGTTCTCATAAGCCTGGGCTATTTTCATAGAAAAATGAAATTTCACTTAATAACTTGTAAGTTAAATAATACTTGGTGTGTTTTTTCGGAAGTATGCCAGAATAATGGCATACACTTTAATGCTGGAATTTTTTAAAAGAAAAAAAAGGAAGTCTCCAGATCCTATACGATTTAGCTTTGATTGCTAGAAATCTTGGAGAGTAGGCCAGAGAGTTCAACATTCCCTTTATTCCTTTAGGAATACTTTGCCCTAGTTTTTCAGTATAGCTTATAATACTAGATTTAAAGTTTCATTTTTGTAGGAGAGGATTTTATCTTGAAGACCTGATAAAGCTATGTTCTTTCATATAACTTCCAAGTTTTCTTCTACATACGTATATATTTAATGATATCTCTCACATGAAAGTCTCACAAGATACACATTCTTAGTTTTTATAATGTAGGGGGTACAATGAAAGAGATGAGATAATTTAAATGTTTTGTCCCTAGTTGTATAGTTCCATCTTCCCTTCACTTCAAGGTGAAGTAAATTACTGAAGCTGGAGATCTCACACTTATTTCAGCATAAGATCCTTCCTCGTTTTGAGTGACTAAGGCTGTGTGAGTGCACTGGCCCTTTTGGAGTGGGCTGCTACGGTCGAAATAGGGTCGGGGAGGAACTATATGCCATATAGTGAAAACAAAGAGTAAACCAACTTATTCCTGTAGCACACAAACCAATGGGGCAGAAGACAAACCCCCAAGAGAGAAATGTTTTGTTGCCAATATCTTTTTATTCCAGAGTGGGAAGTGACATAGTGTAAGTATTTAATGCTCCCCTTTTCAGATTTCTCATCATGTTTATTACACAGAAGTCAAATAAATACCTTATTATAGGGTTGATTTTACCTTTCCTTGCTATTTATATTTGATGTTAAGAATTTGCTTTCTGAAATTGTCTACATTATTAACAAATACAGAAATGATCTTATGGATAACCTATTTCATAGAAGAAATTAAAGAGCTGAAGGACCATAGAATTAAAAGAGAGATGTGCCATTTGTTTTTTTTTAAAGGCTCCAAATCTTAAGAGTGCTCCCAAGGATTCCCCAAGTAGAATTCTGGGAATTACAATCCACAAACATGCACCGACACACACATTCATTCCACTCACCTGGAGAGTCTAAAGCCTTATTATCTGCTGCAGTGCTTCCTGGGAGGACGCTGCCACAATGCTGGGAATGGTAGTTTCATTGCTGTTTATGCTCTGTAGAGGGTGTTTCTTGAAGAACTTCAACTCACAGGAAGCATTGCAGCAGGAAAGAAGGCTAGAAGTTGACCTTAGTCTTTCTTTAAGTGAGTGAATTGAAGCTCTCTGCAGGTCTCTTTTTGTGGCCTGGTATGCCCAGAAGTCGGCCTGGAGAATTCTTGTAGAATTCTGGGATTTGAAATTAAAACAACAGAAACAACAGTGAACACATCCATAATTCAGAACACCATTTTTATTTGTGAAACAATACCGTGGGAGAATGTCCTTTAGCAGCTACACTGCTTTCATGTATTAATTGACACGTGTCCTTTCTTTGAAATTTGCTACTGACAAGTCTGCTTTTCCTCTACCGGAGCACAAACTAGGCTTAAAACATAGTTTTATCAAACACAGGATTATTAAAACATAATCCCTTGCCCTCTGTTTGTATGCACTCATTTTATGTGCATTTGCCTTATTTCAGTATCATTTTTGCTGTACCATTCTCCAGTTAAAGAGGACATCCTTAGCATTGGGTGGTCCACCCTATTGCTCTGATAAGCAGGACTTTTAGGTGTCCTCTAGAACTGGGGTCCCCAACCCCCGATCCATGGCCTGCTACCGAGCCATGGCCTTGGCAGGACTGGGCTGCAGAGACAGATCTCATGCTCTCTTCATGCATGCACGGCCCCCACATGCATGCACAGGTGCGCCACCCACCCCCCAAATGGTCTGCAGTTCAGAAAATGTTGAGGACCACTGTGAGTCTAGAGAGAATCAACATAAGAATTTGCTGTCTGATTCGTGCCTTATTTCTGATAGGTTGTCATGCTTGTTCTGCTCCTTTCTTGGCCACTTTGTCTTTCTGCTCATGCACACTAATCTTTGACTCTCCATCTATACTCTGTACCTTAGTTTCCTTTGATCTGATGGAGCTCTCAGACCAGAAGGAGGGCAGTCATGGCCTCTCCAATAACTCACTAACAACTGAAGGATAAGCTGTGGATTTGAAGGCAGAAAGTGGATATCGAGGATCAAGAGCAGCCAGGGGAGAAAAAAGAGTTTTTGACAGAACTGTAGCAATTTATGTATTTGGCCCAGTGAATGTTTTAGGCACTGAATTTGCTAACTTCAAGGTGATAGTTGATTATTTTTATTGCCGCTGTACCAAATATTTTTAAAATAATGTATGGTCTTATGTTTCACAGATGGGTGCTTGCTTCTCAAAGGTTTTCAATGGATGCCCTCTAAAAATTCATTGTGCAACTTCATGGATAAGTCCTGATACGAGAGGTGATAATCTTTTGTATATAGTCATCATATGTCTGTAATAATGTTTTTTAAGGCACATAAATATAAATATATGTGTGGACTTTTGGGGGAGCCATCTTCCAAGTTTAATCAATGACATTTACATGGGTTGCCCATACCCAACCTAAACCATGATTAATCTTAATTTTATCCTCCCCACCCTGTCATGAGCCTTTTATGTCTCTTTTGTTGTACTCAGTTTTTTCATCAGAGTCTGTCCCTTCAGTATAGCCCTGTTCCCCTCCCATAATGGCATTTGCTCCCAATTTATTTATTTATTTAAATTTGTATAAGGGCAAGGATAAAGACTCAATGCCTCCCACTTACGGTTGGTTCTCATCACAGGATGTCATCACGTAAATCAGTTATTCTTAACCTTTTTGAATGAAACGCCCCCTTGAGCCATTGAGGAAGTTATCATCGTCTCCCTCCCCGAGGCGGCGGTGCCACAGGGAGGGGGGCGATGATAACTTCCTCAATGCCGGCGTCAGTGGCACCACATCCGCTGCCAGCACCAGCTGCTCTGGATCTGGCGGCGCGGGGAGGGGGAGATGATAACTTCCTTAATGGTGGCGGCACGGTGGCTCCATCGCCCCCCTTCTGTTCCTTTGCCCCTGCGTCGCCCCTTTTTGTTCCATTGTCCCCTGAAAAATGAAATCGCCCTCTGGGAGGGGCGATATCGCCCAGGTTAAGAACCACTGATCTAAATAAAGCTAAGGAAAACTGGATTAATGGCTAGGTAAGAGGCTGCTTGGGAGCATAGCACCATGTATGCTACTTTGAGTTCCATGATGGAAGAAAGATACGATAGTAATGTGCAGAATAAATAAAGTACAGTGGTGCCCCACATAGCGACGATAATCCGTTCCGGAAAAATCATCGCTATGTGGATTCGTCGCTATGCGGGGAAAAAAGCCCATAGGAATGCATTAAAACACGTTTAATGCGTTCCTATGGGCTGTAAACTCACCGCTATGCGAAAATCCTCCATACGACCACCATTTTCGCTGCCCGGTAAGCAAGGAATGGGTGCGAAAACACAGCGGGTGGCCATTTTAATTTCCCAGCGGCCATTTTGGAACCGCCGATCAGCTGTTCCAAAAACATCGCTATGCGAAAATCGGTAAGGGAAACAGCTTACCGATCATCGCAAAGCAATTTTTACTACCTAAATCATTGCAATGCGATTGCAAAAAAGCCATCGCTATGCGGATTCGTCGTTAAATGGGGCGCCCATTATGCGAGGCACCACTGTATAGGTAGAAGCTTTTACTCTGTTCTTGGAGGTGGTAGAAACTTTGGATTTCTAAATAAAACAAACTAGGAGAGAATCCTAAGCTAAAGTCCTGTTGCTTAGCATCGTATATACTATATAGGACTATAGCAGGCCTGTTGAATCAATGTGGATTTGGTGGGTCAGCTCATTCATAGGTTCTATTGAATCAAATAAGCCTACTCTGTCTGTGACTCACTTTAGCATAATAAATTTCAGTTGGAGTAGGCCCATTTGAATCAGTCAAACTTACTGAGGAGTTGACTCACTAAATCCTCATTGATTCAGTGGGCTTCCTCTAGTGTAATTTACTGTACTGTGCAACAGGATCTTGGCCGCAATTTTTGATATGGGCTATAAACTTTAGTTAACCATGTTCCCTGATCTCCAAAAACAGGCTTAAACATTTTAATCTGATGTGTGCTTCTATTCAATCTATTACATTGTTTTAAATGTGTCAGCTGACTCTTTCCAATAAAGTGAGAAAATGTGTATTTCTTTCTTTGTAGATCAGTATTTGATATTTGGGGCGGAGGAAGGTATTTACACCTTGAACCTAAATGAGCTCCATGAAACATCAATGGAACAGGTTTGCATTCACATTCCACTTCTCTTATATACAGTATTCTCTGTTACAGCCCAAGATAACTGTTATGAGTTATCCAAGATTTTTTTAGATCTTCACTTGGGGGGTGATACTGTCTGGATCCCAGTTATACTATGGGGATTGTAATTAATACACTTATAAATTCACATTGAGTCTTAATTCCAAAAGAAATATGATTCTTCTTTGTGGTCTCTGTGAATGCACACAAATGGGTTAAACTGTGCCTGCGCAGGACTCTTTGGAGTATTCTAGAGCTTAAATAATGACAAGTGAAACATCTCTCTGTATTTCGCATGCTCTGCCCACCCGCGGTATCTCAGTTCCGAATATCTGCCGCTGTAATGGCTCTGAAAAATTAAATGCCAAAAGTAGTTGTGACGGATAGCGGGGAGGTTGGGCGGGACGTGTATATTCACAGAGTACCACTCAAAGAACAACGGTTACAGGTACTGTAAGTAACCTCTCTGTATGAATGTAACAAGATTCTTGAGAAAATGTTGTGAGTGGCAGATGAAGACTCATGGGACTAAATCCCGCTGTGCTCCCAACAAGAGTAGACTCGAGTGAATAGGAATGATATAATTTCCATTGACTTAAGTGGGTCTAATCTAGTTAGGACTAAAATTGAGTTTGCCTGGGGGGAGTCAGATTCCCTTTCAACTTACAAAGAGATAGTTTTTAAATGCCAAAAGCAATGATTTGTATCCTACACACAGTAGCAAGGCTTAAAAAATGTAAATATAATTTAGATAATTTAACACCACAGCTGTATCAAAGCATGATGAATATGATTCAATAAATGCATAATTCAATACATACAGTAATTAGAATATACTTTCTGAAAAACCAAGACTTAATTGCAATTAAAGGAGCCTTAAGAACTACTGGCATTACGGTATAAGCTATCTCTTACTCTAGAACACTAAAATATAAAGTACAGACAAGTGCAAAGGCAGAAGACTAAATCTGTTCCCAGTACCCATTCTATTAAGCATAAATATCATTGTTTCTCATCTCAGTTTGTAATAATCTTTATCCTCTGGCATTGGTAAGAATATAATCAGTAATGTGAAACTATAACTTTGCTCTTCCCAGAGCAGTGACTCTTTGGGTTTGCCACTTCTAGCATGCCCCACCAACAGTGGCTGTGTAATAAAATAAAATCCCTGGAAATGACTGCTGAGCATCAGTTCAGTAGCAGCTGAAATAGTCCTATTTGGAAATCTGTACAGGTGGACAAGGCCCTGCTAGGCAGTGACCTCTCACTGATATATAAGGAGTAGCAAAGAGATAACTGATAGTCTCCTCTCATTTGAATTGTGTGTTGTGCTATGTATATGGTTATTTTACTAGCCTAAGTGGCCAGTTTTCCCCAGCTGCTGCCCTGCAGAGATGTTGAACTGCAATCATCCCCAGCCAGCATGGCTATTGACCCTGCTGGCTCGGTTAACAGAAATTGTACTCCTGTACCCCTGCAGGGGGCTAAGTGAAAGATTGATCTTGTAGGGTGTCTAATCAGAACTGTTGCCCTCCAGATGTTCTTGGCCTTCAACTCCCAGAAATCCTGGCCAGCAGAGGTGGTGGTGAAGGCTTCTGGGAGTTGAAGTTCAAGAACATCTGGAGGGCCACAGTTCGACACCACTGTTGTAGGGTGACTAATCAACTGACATAGCATGCTCCAACTATGACCCTCTGTAAGTTTTTGTTCTTTTTAATTATGTTTGTTTATAATATTTATTTTTGTTTGTTTATAACATTTATTTAGGAACCTTTTCCTGAAGCATAGATTGCTAATTTTGAGAGCCAATATAGTTGATTGGATAGAATGATGGAGACTTAGATTCAAATCCCAACTCAACTCTGGAAGCCAAGTGCAGAGTTGTAATGATAAAACTATTATGTTTAATAAATATCTCTCATACTTGGAAAATCTTATTAGTGTCGCCATAAGTCAAGTGCTATTGAACAACACTGAAAACAAATTAGCAGTTTACAAAGTAGTAGAAAATAGAAATGTTTTAGATGTGTAGATGCTACAATAGATAAGTTTCCTATTCAGTCTAATGTCTCATTCAAAATTGCTTTTCTTACCTTCTTCTTCTTTTTATCAGCTATTTCCCCGACGATGTACATGGCTGTATGTAATGAACAACTGCTTGCTGTCAATATCTGGTGAGATTTCAGAACTTGGGAGGGGCATAATTTGACATGTAAATATCTGTGCTCTTTAGTTCTCTTCCACTGTCAAAAACATCTTTGCTGTCTTCTTTGCAGGCAAAGCATCTCAGCTATATTCCCATAATTTACCAGGACTGTTTGACTACGCACGACAAATGCAGAAGTTACCTGTGGCTATACCTGCACACAAACTTCCTGACAGAATACTTCCCAGGTAGATATTTGTTTTTTGAGATTTGGATTTTTTTTCCCCGACTGAAGTCCCCAGACTGGTTCAAGAATACTAATTAATGACAATAGCCATTTCTTGTATAAAAATCCCATCTATTTGTTTTAAAAGTTTCAATTACACAAGAAATAGATTTGTAGGGAAAGGGAATGTTGTGGACCGTGATGTGCAAGAGGGGTATATTTAAGGGAGAGGGATTGGTGAAAATTGTCTATATCATCTTCTACTGGTAGAAAGAAAGGCTTGAATCCAGAAGTGAATGCAGAAAGTGACTTCCCTACCTGGGAGGAGGGGGCAATCATATATCATCTGATTATGAATGTAGCACTGTTGTTTGATGGGTTATAGAAGAGTAGAAACAGACCATAACAACAACAATAAAAAATGGATTGATAATAGAGAGTTGAGAACAAGTGATTCAGTTCCCTAGAAATGTGTTAGGTGCAGATGTTTTGTATATTGCATCAGTGAAGTTATAAAACATATAAACAGATGATATTCATGAAGGAAATATGTAGATTAGGATCTAGGAGGATCTTTTCCCATGTTTTTTAGACATAATTATGTTTGATGTTCAGTGTTCTAAAATTTGTAGTATTACTCTTTTGTGTGCAATTGTACATTTATGTATTATTTCATTTGGATTTTTTTAAAATTGTAACTAAATTGATAGAAAAGAAGTATGATTTTGAAATGCAAACATGAAAAGAAGAAAAATACAATGCTTATGAAAAATGGAGGGGCGAGTTGATATCTTTCCTCTCCATCTTCAAAAAGGAAAAACAACTGCTAGATATTACAAAGAGAAATCTGTTATAGCATGGCGACAGTATGAAAACAGGCTGTACCATTGATGCGCTTCAGATTTTTATTGTCTCCACTACATCTTCTGTCTTTATAAAAATTGATTCAGAGCTGAGGGGTCCCTTCAGCTTGTCCTCAGCTTGTGTGTGGAGGAAAACTAGAGTTTAATTTTAGCATATTTTTTTATTATTTTGAATAAAAAAATGTATGTTTGAATTCTAATTTTAAAAAAATTTAGCACATATTTTTAATGTGTTCTAGGAAGTTTGCAGTGTCTTCAAAGATCCCTGACACAAAATGGTGTCAGAAGTGTTGTGTAGGTAAGTAAAGATGTTATTTAACATCCTTGCGCATCTTTGTTATATAGCATAGGCATCCTTCAGTCTCGAGAGACTATGGTAACATGCTCTGAATCGAGGAGTGTCCTCTCCAGAGCATGAAGCCCGGATAAGGTAATATGGAGGATAAGCTGTTACCCAAGCAGCAGATCCCCCCCTCTCCACATTGCTGAAATGGTCCAATATGACTTTTCAATTTTTGGACCCATTTTGTGATGCCTTTGTCATACGTTCATACTCCAAAGAAAGTAGAGAATGTAATTGATGGAAAGATACACAGGAGCCTGTGATAGAGGGGAAGTTGAATTGCATCTTTCAAATTTTCCCCTGCTTTCCACTCCTATTATGAGTAGCCACTATTATGAGTATCATCGAAGGAGAATCACATCAGTACAGTATCAGTCTCTTGTAGATGAAGTGTCTGGTGCTCGATAAAGGACATTGATACTTTGTTTGTACTTGTTTGTACTTTATCCAAGATGTTTTCATAATGTTTCTTTCCTAGTAAGGAATCCTTACACAGGACACAAATATCTTTGTGGAGCCCTACAGTCTAGCATTGTTCTATTAGAGTGGGTCGAACCAATGCAGAAATTCATGTTAATCAAGGTATGTTCCTTTCAAAATGTCACCTAATCTTATTCTCCATTAGTAATTCTGCCCCCCCCCATCATATCTCAGGAGCTATCATCCTGAAGTGCTGGCAAGATTCCCTTGCTTTCTTATTTTTGTTGTCCTTTTATCCACATATAGTCCATCTGTCTTTGAAAAACTTAGTTAAATGTACCAACAAACAATGAATAAAGACAATCTAATAAGCAATCTGATAAAATGTAATGATGACAATCTGATACTGTGGGTGAAAATTGTTAATTGAGAGTAGATCCAATGCATAGGTCTTGTTAAAGTCACTAAAAACCTGGCTATTTAGGCAGGCATTCGAAAACACCTGAAAACGCAGCTGAAAAGTCACTAAAAATCTGGCTATTTAGGCAGGCATTCGAAAACATACCTGAAAATACAGCTGAATCTAATTAGCCTGCCTGCCCAATGGCCACCGTCTTAAATGTTTTAATTGCTTTGAAAGTTTTTAAACATTTTATTTTGATGTATTTTATATTTTAAATTTATTGCTTGTATTTTATTATTTCTATTTTTTTGCATTTTTATATGCTGTAAACTGCTCAGAGTGGCTTCGACTAGCTGAGCGGTATAAAAAGGAAAATATCTAGCTAGCTAACTAGCTATTATGGTGCAGTGGTTAAACCGCTTTACTACCTCCAGAACTCTGCCCACAACCCAGAGTTCAATGCCAGGTAGTTGGCTCAAGGTTCACTTAGCCTTCTATCCTTCCAAGGTCGCTAAATTGAGTACCTACTCTGGGGGGGGTGGCGGTATGTGTAGCTTGCATGATTAAACTGCAAACCTACCCAGAGAGTGCTTTAAGCACTATAGGGTTGTATATAAGCAACACACTTTTTAAATCAACACTTAAGTTTCATGGATTCAGTGGGTTTGCTGTAGTTTAGATTTATAGCTGGATTTAGCTGGACTTTTTAAAATCCAGCAGAAGACAATGACTTAATCCCCAAATACCTGTAAGAACGGATGGGCTTTGCATACTTTTTCAAAAAGCAACTTAGAGGAGCCCTCAGTATGCTGGCAGAAAATTCCATTGGTGTACATCTATCAGTGGCTTCAGAGGAGGAGAGAATAGAAATTTTAAGAACAGGGGAGGCATGGTGATCTTCCTTAGAAACTCCTCTGGCAGGGCCAATCTAAAAGGGGATGGAGCAAACCACATCATCTCATCTTGCAGACTTTAGAAGGTGGTATCTTCCTCACTATGAATTCAATAGCCCTCTTCTCCCTCAGTCTGTAAGCACTTCCTGACATAAAGTAAATTCATCTAGTTATGAACAAGATTTCTGCTGGCGCATTGGCTGGCAAATAACCTCAGTTTTGAATGTTTAAAAAGTTCTCATCCATTTACCTCTGTGACAGGATTTCAGATCTGTGCTGCAGAGAATTACAGGAAATGCTTCTGGAGAATGTTTTTAGTATTAAAAAAGAGTTGCAAAATTTTCAGTTGGACCTTGTTTTCAGAATGCTAAGCTATGTTTCCTCTCATTAAAAAGTCTTGAATTACTGCGGAACTGCTAAGTCAAAGTTCTTTTATCCATTAAACGATAATGTTTAATAGTACAGTATTATACAAATATTTCTATAACTTTTTAAAAAAATAACTGACACATCTCTTAATTTAGCACATAGATTTTCCTGTACCTTGTCCATTGAGGTTGTTTGAAATGCTGGTAGTGCCTGAGCAGGAATTCCCTTTGGTTTGTGTTGGTGTAACTAAAGGGAGAGACTTCAACCAGGTGGTGAAATTTGAAACTGTCAACCCAAATTCTACCTCTTCGTGGTTCACAGAGACAGGTTTGTGAATTATTGTGATCAGCTTTCCAAATACAGTTGGTTGTCTTACAGCATGACTGTGGCCTGTCATTCAGTAAATTCAGTCTTCTAATAAATAGATTGACTGTTGATTGGATTGTTTCTTAAATCTAAAAACTTTTAAGATTTAGGGTGATCTCCTGAGCTGGCTCACATAGTCAGCATAAAGATGTTACCTCGAGTTCCATGCTTTGTAATGTAATATTATATCAAGGTAATGTAGATGTGACTTGATTGACCCTCAGCTTATTCACACCTGTGTGGGGCTCACCAGCATAATATCCTTTGACGTAGAAAATATCTGCTATGGCTTCTCTGTGGTTGCATTCATGCATGCAGCTTGCATCACCACTTTCCTCAGCAAAGGAGCCAAACCGGATAAGGATATCAGGAGATCTGTAGTCACATCAAATTGGTAATTAGAGCCAGAGTGAGCACTTTGCGGTGGGGGGTGTGTGATCTTGATTGGGATGGTGACACTGCATTAGAGTTCACAGCCATTTCCCAAACCTGAATTGCCTGCCTGGTACTGCTGTTTACTCTTTTAAGGATGGCTTACAAGAAGATTTAAAGGTTATCTTTGCATAGTACAAAGCCACGAGTATCATATGTTCAATTGTTTCTTAATGTATAATTTATTTTGTTAATGTATAATTAATAATATTCTTTTTTGTACTGTGAGCTGCCTTGAGCCCCCTTTGATGAGAGAAAGGTGGCCTATAAGACAGGCAGATGATACATGCATGGTTTCTGAAAGAAAGACAAAACTGTCCTGCACAGTTTTTTTACTGTTCAAATAGTTGATTACTTGACTTATAGAGCATCTACTTTGAATTAATATTTATGCAGGAACAACTTTTTTTGTTCTTGTTGTAGATACTACACAGACGAATGTTGTGCATGTAACACAGCTGGAGAGAGATACCATTTTAGTCTGCTTGGACTGTAAGTGCCATGTATGTTCTGGCTGTACATATTCAATAAAAGGCAAGGTGTTAAGAGAGCTACTGAATAATATATGGAATTTGTTTTTCAGGCTGCATAAAGATAGTAAATTTACAAGGTAGATTGAAATCTAGCCGAAAGCTGTCCTCAGAACTTACATTTGATTTCCACATTGAATCAATAGGTAAGTAAAATTTAGCTATCATTATTCATCAGGTAACTTAGAGGCATTCAGGCTTTTAAGATCATTTGTGGTGGAGAGTGCATGTTATATACAGTGAGGTCTCGACCTATAGAATTAATCCGTATTGAAACGGGGTCTGTAGGTCGAAAAGTCCTCAAGTTGAAAATGCATTCCCCATAGGAATGCATTGAAAACCAATTAATCCGTAAACTGCCCAAGAAACAACCCACACACACACAAATAAAATTAAAATACATTTTTAAAATTAACCTTACCTTTTCGTAGTCTTGCAGGGGTCCCCCACCGCTGCCATCGCTGCTGCTGGAGGCTTCTCGAAGCTCCCCCGCCGCCGCCATCGCTGCTGCTGGAGGACTCCGAGGGCTTTGGCACGGCTGCCAGAGGACTCTTGGAGGTGCCCCGCCAACACAGGCTTTCCCAGGGTGGACCGGCCGTACCAGGGGAGGGCTTCCCTCAGTAGGCCTGGTCTACTTCCCAGGCTTTCCCGGGGACTAGACCAGGCCTACCTGGGTAAGCCCTCCCCTGGTAGGCCAGGTCCACCCTGGGAAAACCTGTGTTGGCTGGGGTGGGGGACCTCCGAGTGGCCTCCCATGGTGGCGGGGAAGACCTATGGAGTCCCCCCCCATCCACTGCCAGCAGGGGGTACCTCCAGATGCCTTCCCCACTGCCATGGGAGGCCTCTCAGGGGTCCCCGCCGCCGCCGTTCGTGCCTCCGAAGCACGATTGGCGGCGGTGGGGGACCTCCGAGATGTCTCCCATGGCAGTGGAGAAGCCCTGGAAGGCATCCGGAGGCAGATCCGCGGCCTACGGACTGGAAGGGGGAGGCGGGGAAAGCGCCAAATTTGAATTGCATGCTTTTCCCACCTCCCTCTTCTGGTCCGTAGGTCGATTCTCCAGCTGCAAGTCGAAGTAAAACTTTGCGGCCAGAGAGGTACGGATCTCAAAAAGTTCGTAAGTGGAGCCGACTGTAAGTCGAGACTCCATTGTATATATATTTTAAAAACAAATATACTTTTAAAAGCTCAAACAAATCATAAATTATTTCTATTAGAATAATTAATGTTAAAACAAAGGAAGACCAAGGTAAAACAGGAATATTTGCTTATTGCTGTTTGCAAAGGCCTGTCTTAGATAATGTCCCAATTTTAAAACTGAAACCTTTTGTAACCCTAGAAATAAGGAATTATTTACGTAGCAGTGCAGCTTATAGGAAGAGTATCTGGAATTTGTGTTCACATCAAGAATTCATTATCTGTTGTGATACGTTACATTCATACCTTGTTTTTCTAAATCAAAGTTTTCTGGGTTTGTGGATTTAAACACCTTTTAAGTTTATTTTAATTGCTGTGTAAAGCAAGTATAAAGTAGTTACTGTGATATTAAATCTTAATTATTATTGTAGAATTCCTATTTCCTGGTCCATAATCTTTGTGGGTTTGCTTCAAATTTATGCATATGTCTCAGAACAGGTGGAAATGAGCTTGTATAGACAAATATCACAGAGGGTTGAAGGATCCTGATGAATGAGTGTGCAGTAGCATGAGAGGCTGAGATGAAAGGAGGATGCTGAAAATTGGCCAGAGGGCTACACATGAGGAAAGGATATGGGAAATAATCACTTTGAATAGAAACTGAAGAATGTCCAAATGGGACCATTGTTTTGATTTGTGGTTAAACATACTTTACTCTTCATGTTTTGCACCCTAAAATTACAGTTCTATGTGTATTCACAAATGTGTGGAATCAGTTTAGATTATAGTAAGTTATGTGGAAAAATGTTTGGTTGCTGCCTATAAAAGACTAATTTGAGTTCTGTCTTCCTACTAGTTTGTTTACAAGACAGTGTTTTGGCTTTCTGGAAGCATGGAATGCAAGGCAGAAGTTTCCGATCAAATGAGGTAAATAGATGGAATCAAGACTAGTGCTCTTCCATTGACTTGTTTTTAAAAATCAGCTTAAGAGCAAAATGGCTGTTCTTAATATTCATGATTAGAGATGGGGGTATTCTGATATGAATAGGAATACGCCTGCACAGGTGGAGAAAACGAGGGTCTGGCCCCATGGTGCCAGACAATCCACTCAGCGATCCGCCACTGCCGCGGGCTGCGTGATCCTGTCCTATCACTCTGGAGCTTGCAATTGACAAGCCACTCTTCAACCTGGCAGAGAGGCTTGTGGTCCCACCACCTGCCAGGAGTGGCTTGCTGATTGCGAGCTCCAGAGTGATAGGATCGTGCAGCTCACGGCAGTAGTGGATCGCTAAGCGGACCATCTGGCACCATGGGACCGAACCTTCATTATCTCCACTTGTGCGGGGGTATTTGTATCCATATACAAATATCTCCATTCATGATACAGTGGTGCCTTGCTTGACGACATTAATTCGTTCCAGCGAAATCGCTATAGAGTGAAAACGTCAAATGAAAAAGAAACCCATTGAAACGCATTGAAAACCGTTCAATGCGTTCCAATGGGCTGAATACCTGCTCGTCCAATGAAGATCCTCCATATGGCAGCCATTTTCTGGTGCCTGTTAAGTGAAAAAGCCTTCCTAAAAACAGCGGGGGAGCATTTTCTTCTGCTGGTGGCCATTTTGAAACCAGACGATCAGCTGTTTGCTGATCGTCGTAAAGCAAAAATCGTTTCCCGAAGCAGGGAACCAATCATCACAAAGCGGAAAAAAAACATTTAAACCATTGTTTTGCGATCGCAAAAAATAATCGTACAGCTATTTCCTCATTAAGCGAGGCAATTGTTAAGCGAGGCACCACTGTACTTAATTCTTTGAGCAATACAGAGGAATCCCCACAACATAGATTCAGCCCTTCATAGAGGTTCTCAGTTTTTTGCACTTTCTCTAAAATAAACAATTGTATAGTGTTTTGATCATAAGAATGAGCAGGAAGATCTACAGTTTGAATATGAGCTTATCTGTGTCCTCACAAATGACCTTTGGCACTTTCTTAGCCTTAGAGCTCCCATCTGGAAAACAAAAGAATCCAGTGCGGAAATGCATAACAAAGTGTGCTGTAACAGTTGCCAGGACTCTGTAGAAACTATTTGAGTGGGTCATACAGTGGTGCCTCGCACAACGAGCGCCCCGTAGAGCGATTAATTCGCTCTACAGGGACGTTTTTTCGATTGCTAATGCAATCGCAGAGCGACGGCCCCAATGGGCGAAAATTGCAGAGCGAAGGTCGGTAAGCGGTTCGCTTACCGACCTTCGCTTTGCGACCCGCCGATCAGCTGTTCCGTGGCTACAAAATGGCCGCGCGCAGAGTTTTCACGCTCTCGTTAAGCAAGGGGAGGGCGCGAAAATGGCTGCCGGCCATAGGGAAGCATCGCTGAACGGTGAGTATTCGGCCCAATTGGCTTTTCCTGTCCCGTTCAACGATGCTTTCACACAGCGAGGGTTAATCCGGAACGGATTAACCTCGCTGTGCGAGGCACCACTGTATTTATCTATACAACCTCTCCCCACAAAAGTAGCACTGAAGAATAGAGGCAATATTGAATAGAGAATATTGACTAGAGCAATTCAGGTAATCTGGGGTGAAGAAATTTCAGCACATCTCTTCCACTCTGGCCGCCCTTCATTGGCTACCGATTCATTTCCACATCGACTTCAAATTTATGATAACATTCAAAGCCCTTAACAGTTTAGAACCTCGGTACCTATCAGAACACCTGCTCCCAGTCAGATCTGTCCGTAATACCCATTCTTCACAGGCACGGCATTTGACCCCCCGCCTATGGAAAAACCTGCTATTGAGATCCATCTGGCTCGCTCGCTGGATGGGTTCAAATGAGCATTGAAGACTTCCAGGCTTTTCCTGACCATTAAGATCTCGGGGGCCCTTTTGCCATCCTTTTCATCACCCTTTACCACCTTCATTGCCATCTGTTTTAATTTACCTTGTTGCTCTGTATTATTTTATTTTCTGTTGTGTTTTAATATTGCTATTTATATTGTTGTTAGCCACCCAGAGTGGCCTGGTTTGCTAGATGGTGTGGGGTATAAATCCAATCAATCAATCAATCAATAATCCAGGTGTTCTCATCAATCAATCAATCAATCAATAATTCAGGTGTTCTGAGAAGTCTTCACCAGGATTTCTGGGAGTTGCAGTCCAAGAACACCTGGGTTACCCAAGGTTTGGAACCATTGGAATAGAAAATACTGAAGAATAGAGCCTGTGTTTATTTATTTTAATTAATTTATGTGAGTTAAGAAGAACTTTAAGTAATGCTGCAAAACAGGAACCTTGCATAATGTAATTCAATAAGTATTTATTTAAAACTTAATGAAGCTTTTGTTTGACGCTACAAACAGATCACACAGGAAATTTCTGACAATACAAGAATATTCCGACTCCTTGGATCTGACAGGTATGATCAGTCCCAAACATAACATATTTGAATAAGTGTTTTCCCAGAGAGAGAGAAATAATGTTGATTATCTCGACCACAAGGCTCAGGGCCAATACTAGGGTAGCTACCAAGGACACTGTGCTCCTAAGGAATAACAGGAGTTGCCACCAATGTATTTACTTTGCCTGCCCTTTCTCCCAGGCAGCATGGAATGTAGACTGAACCCCCACCAGCACTCAGGGTGGTGAGAAGACAGGCAGTGATTACTGTTGAGTTTTGCTGCCATTGCTACTCACTCAGGGTCAATGGATAAATAATGGGGCCGTGGTTACATCTGTTCTGTTACTCCAGGCTGTGCTTTGTATAAGGAAGAGAATAAGCAACACTACCAAGAAGGACCTCCCTTCCAAAGTGCAATGATGATCCGAAGCTGTGCATTGCTGTGTTATTCATGAATAGGTAACATTCTCTAGATATATTTTATTTTCATTTCTTTTTCTCCCACAGAGTTGTGGTACTGGAGAGTAGGCCAACAGACGACCCTACTGCCAACAGCAACTTGTACATCTTAGCAGGCCATGAAAACAGTTACTGAGAGGCAACACGCAGTGTCAGTGGAATCATGAAACAGAACACTACTGCTGTGACACTTACAAATAGCAGAGATTGCACAAAATGGCAGAACCATGATTTCAATTATGTTGTAATTTATTGTGGTGTATGAGAGAATGAATGAGAGCAAGAACACTTGCCTGAATGACAGGGACACGGTGAGCACATTTATACCACTAAAGTGCTTGATTCACCATTATGTAATCTTTGTACATATATGCATTATTCTTCAGTGAAATGTACTGCTGGAGATTTTGATTTTATGTAGATAGTGGTCAAAATGTCTTACCTGTACAGATGTGTAAAGATTGCTAAAGACATAGAACTGCGTTTGGGGTACTATTTTAAGGACTCTTAAAAAATGGATGCTAGCGATAAAAACAGTGCATTTAAAATAACACTATCGTATTTTATTATGTAATTTACTAATACAAATAAATCTTTACCTTTTAGACATTGTAACCAAGGCTGTAATCCTATTACAATCTTGTTTTTAATTTTTGTTGCAAGTACACTGGTGTTTTGGTTGCACAAAGTATTAATATGGATGTATTTAGTCACAAAAGTAAGCTGTGACTTTGTGGATATGATTTGGGTGTTTTAGTTTATTTGGGTAGTTTTCTTTGTGAAACCAGCCAATTGAACACCTGTATTTTTATATTTAAGGAAAATTCTCTAATTATTTTCTGTGCTTGGAAGAAAGTTAATATTTTGGAATGGGAATAAATCCCAAATAGTGGTACCATGTCATAATTATAAATGTATTCAATGATAAAATAAGGGTTAATATGAATCAGTGCCACCCATATCATGCAGAAATTGCAGCGTTCAGTGAACACTGCTGAAATATGTGGGGCTAACCACATCCAAAGGGATGCTGCACACAGCATTCTGTGCAGTGCTTTATGGATATTGTTTAGCGCTCATATTAAAGTGAAGACACACATTTTCCCTTTATTTAAGAAGTGAACCTCAGACTTGGCAGGACAGGAGCAGCATGCGTAACAGATGGCTACTGTGTCCATTTGGACTTAAAAGATCTCCTCTGCCAATTCTCTCATAGGATAATTGAGTTTTATGGGATTCCATATGAATTTCCATGTGTAGAAAAGCAGAGTGGTAGATCTGCATTTGTTTTTCTTGTATGGTGGGATCTTGTCAACTGGATAGTTTTTAAGTTATGCTCCCAGGAACCCTGAAATTCCTTGGTGGCTTAGCAGGGGGCTTCTCAGTGAGAAGACCAGTAACAGAGGAAGGCATTTCTGAGAGACAGTATGCTTACCCTTACTGGTTTTTTCCCCTGCCATGAACAGTTATGGGGGAGTAGAAAATGTAGGGTGGATTCTTAATGGTGAGTGTCAATAAAAACCAACATATGTAGCCAGCAGCCCATGTGAACACAGTGTGTACACTGTACAGTTCCTAAGAATCTTCTGCAGTATGCTAGTGTGCTGATTTCTCTGAAGGCCTGAAGCTTAAACCCACCACCTTACAGAACAGCTGTTCTTTGTATTTAAAAGGTGTTGATTAGGATCATTGTCTTAATTAGGGCTGTTCAGAAGTTTGCTTTTTAATGTTTGGCCTTACTACAGTCTTTCACATTTTCCTCTTAATTTCTTAACACCTGGCCAAAATGATTTAGTTACTACCTCACATAAAACAATTTCAATGCTTATTATACATCACAGGAATGTTTACTTTTGAGCAAAACTGTTTTTGATTATTTTCCAGTGCATTAGTGTGGCTGCCAAGTTTTAGGGGGAAAGTGCACATATTGGCTTTTTTTGTATATGTTCTTTATACTGTGATATAAACTAAGAAAAAAACTACATTAAAAGTGATTTATGATCCGTATTGATGTTGGTAATGCTTTTGAAAATTTCCTAATGTATATAATGTAAAATAAACTTTTTTTAACATGTTTGTTGTACTTTTGAATGGCCTTCTGCACTAGTTTTCTGAAGAAATAAAACATGGGGGAAAGCATTTTTATAAATATTAACTACAAGAAAATAAAACTTTTTGTTAAACAGGGGTCTGAGACCCTTAATTATCTGTTTTAAGCAAGATTCACACTCTGGGGATTCCACCAATTCTCCTTTCATTCTGCCACCACCCCCTGACACTTTCCATAATGTTCCAGACAGAAAGTTCTACAAACGTATAATATGATAAGGGATTACGGGAGCTGTAGTCAAAAACCACCTGAAAGATTAAAAGTTCCCAAGCTAGATACTTTAAATATTTAGTTAGTAGCCTTGATTTGACCCTTTTTTTTTTCTTTATCAAGTTAAAAAGGAGACATCTGGAGAGCAGATGGATGAAGGATCAGTCTGATCAAAATTTGGCTGCTTTTAAAACCTTTACCAGAAGTTACACCAATGCCTTAAGATTGACAAGAAAGGGTATTTTAATATCAAAATTGCAGGTGAGGCTGCAAACTGACAAGTGGAACTTTTCCAGGTGGTTCATTAACTCACCAACCCTGGTCAATTATGACCCCTTCCTGATGACTTTACCAGCAATCAATTCCTTTTTTTAAAAAAAGGAGGCTATTCAAGCAGATGTTGAATCTGCCAGCAACTTGGTTGATCGGCTGATAGTTGTTGCTGCACCTCTCCCTCTGCCCAACTGGTTCACTTTGACCCTTTAATTTTGGAGGAGGGATCCAGGGCACTGGCTAGCTGCAAACCTCTTCACTTGACTCTTACCCTGCATGGCTAATAAAGGCTGCCTGTGGGGTTACGGTTGATTGGGCCATGAATACAGTGGTGCCCCACATAGCGACGTTAATCCATTTCAGGATTAACGTCGCTATCCGGAAACATTGCTATACGGAAAGGAAAACCCCACAGGAACGCATTAAACTCCGTTTAATGCGTTCCTGTGGGGGGGAAACTGACCGGTAAGCGAAGATTCCCCATCCGGCCGCCATTTTCGCCACCTCAGTAAACGAGGGCAGGGTGCGAAAACGCTGCAGGCGGCCATTTTCTGCACCTGGCGGCCATTTTGGAACCGCCGATCAGCTGTTTCCCTAACATCGCAATGCAAAGATCGGTAAGTGAAATGCTTACAGATCATCGCAATGCGATGTTTTCCCTATCCAAAACATTGCAATGCAATTGCATTAGCGATCGCAAAAACCGCATCACTATGCAGATTCGTTGTTAAACGGTGCGCTTATTAAGCGAGGCACCACTGTACTGTAAACACCCCTCTGAGGGAGAGATTTTTCACCTCTCAAGTGAAGGAAACCATCATCTGTCCTATTGTTAGACCTCACCTGGTGATAATTAACAATTACAGACCCATTGCCTTTTTGAACACGTTTGACAGTGGTGGCAAGGCAGCTCCAAAAGTACCTGGAAGAGAAAAACTGCCTTGACCCATTCCAGTCAGGTTTTAGGCTGCAGCAGGATACCAAAATGGCACCGGTTGTGCTGCATGATGACCTCTTAAGGAAGGCTGATGGGGGGGGAGGGTCTTCCCTCCAAGTAACTCCTGGATCTCAGCAGCTTTTGATACTGTCTACCATGGTATCCTCCTGGATAGGTTGTCAGAGGTGGGGATCGGGGAACGGCACTTAGCTGGCTCTGAGCCTTCCTGAAGGGCCATGTTCAGAGAGTTCACCTTGGAGACGAGTTGTTGGCTCCCTGGACCTTCAACTGTGGGGTGCCATAGGGGTCTTCAGTATCCTCAGTGCTGTCTAACATATGTGTTAAACTGCTGGGGGGAGTCATCAGGAGATTCGGAATCGGGTATCAATATGCCAATGATGTGCAACTCTTATCTCTCCTTTTCCACCTCTGCAGTAGATGCCGTCCAGATGCTTGAATACTGGAATTAGTCTTGGAATGAACCAGGGTGGACAGGCTCCACCCAAACAAGATAGGGATTTTGTATCGGGGGGGCCTTCAAATAGGTTGAGGGGTACCCCTAAACTGAGTGGTGTCCTTCCAGTTAGGGACCAGGTTCGTAATCTGGGCATACTTCTCAACCTGGCTCTGCCCTGAGATTCTCAGACTGCAGTTGTGTCTAGAGCCACCTTTATCCAGCTGACGCATATCACCCAACTCTACCCTTTCCTAGACAAGGATCTCCTCAGGACCTTGATGAATGCCTTGGTCATCTCCCAGATCAACTATTGCAATGATCTGTACATGGGGCTTCCCTTCAGGCTGATCCAGAGATTGGAAGTGGGCCAGAATGTGGTGGCCAGACTGGTAGCTGGTATGAGCAAATTTGATCACATCTCCCTATACTGGCTTGCCTGCACTGATTACCTGTTGCATCCTGGATCAGATTAAACATCTTGATGCTCACCTATAAAGCCCTTCACAGTTTGGAGCCACGTTACTCATTGGAACATCCTTCCCCAAGGTTATCTACCTGCTCCACACAAGTTCCTCCCAAGCAATGCTGCTCCAAGAAGCCACTCCAAAGGAGGCTAGGAAATAAACCACCTGAAATAGGTTCTTCTTTGTTGTGCCACCAATACTTTAGAACTAACCTCTGGAAGAAATGCACCTGGCTTCTTCCCTTCCTACAGTTAAAGGACATTTTAAAACACTGCTTTACAGGGAGGCCTTTTATGGCAATCCTGCCTGATGTATTTGTCTCTTTTCTGTTTCTCCTGTTTGATAGTATGTTTATATGCCTCACATTCCACATTTTATCCTTACACCTCTCCTAAAGTTCTTCTAGAATTGTTGTTTAGTTGTTAAGTCATGCCAGACTCTTCGTGACCTCATGGACCAGAGCACGCCAGGTCATCCTGTCTTTCACTGCCTCCTAGAGTTGGGTCAAATCTTCTAGAATTAGTATTTGACAAAAGAGCATACTGTACTGTTTTTCTGCAGTTTCTCAAGTGGTTAACAAAAGCAAGATAAAATTAAAGTAAAAACAACATGTAAAACAGTGGTTCTTAACCTTTGTTACTCGGATGTTTTTGAACTGCAACTCCCAGAAACCCCAGCCAGCACAGTTGGTGGTGAAGGCTTCTGGGAGTTGCAGTCCAAAATTCCTGAGTAACCCAAGGTTAAGAACCAGTGATGTAAAACATCCATCAAAATATTAAAACCCATTAATTTTAAAACTTGAGGGGGGAAATGTGTGTGCTGGGCCCTAAACTGTGTTATCATCTGCACAGAGCCTCTTCATTATCAAGGATATCAATCTAGCATCTTAATCAGTTGCAGCAAAATAATAAGAGGCTCCTATGACAACATTGAGTATGTCTTTCTTCAGCTTTCCTGCCATCCGAAGATGTGGGCTGCAACTCATGAAAGGTCATGTCAAACAAAACTTGTTCGTCTTAATGGTGCCATAAAATTCTTAGTCATCTTTATTGGTATTCTTTCTCCTCCTGCTATCATAATTATAAAATAAATAACGACCCTTCATCTTCTTTTGTAAGGAACGTCCTCTTCACAGAAAAATAAATCTGCAATCCTGTCCATGAAGCCAGCTCATTACCACCGGAACCACAAGAAGCGCCCAGATCTATTTTGCCTTGTTTTTGTTTTGAACTTTAAACTTAAGCAAGGGGGTTGAACTGCGGCTAACAGGGTCACTTGTCCTCCGCGCCGCAGAGGGCGCTGTGAAAAAAAAGGACCCTTCTCACCGATCCTTCCTATAATGAAAATACCTCAACCCGAGCCGTCGGGTTTCCGCACGCAAACCTAGCCAGTCTTTTTATTTGAAGTTGTTGCGGGCTTGGTTTCTCATTTCCGCGCGGAAGACAAGAGGGAGGAGAAAACAAACGGGAAAACGACGGCACCTCAAGCTCCTTCCAGCGATAAGCTTGCGAGGCAACGAAAGGGGGCGCAACTCTGGCGGCGCATGCGCCGTCGGCATCTGCGCCCACTGCGCATGCGCCGGAGGTTGTAACCGTCAGGGCAAGGAAAAGAACCCCCAAGAGTTCAAAGTCGCGTTCCGGACCGTGCCCCTCCCTCCCCTGAGCAACCGTCACTTTATTGCCGTTGGCCGGCGGCCTTCCTGTCCGCCCCTTTCAGACAGTTCCCGTCCTGTCAGGGCGTGAAGAAGGATGCCCGGTGGTGGTGGTGGTGGTGTCTTGGGCCAGGCCGGCTCCGGCGCTGTGTGAGACAAGGCCGGGCCGGGCGGCGGGTGACCGGGGGAAGGGATGTCGCCGTCGCCTCCCGCCGTTGGGTCCTGCCACTGCCGCCTCCGGCGGCTCTCCCCGTTTCGGTCCTCGTCCGACTCCGGGTACCGCCCGCCACCGCCGCCGTTACGGGCACAGGCGCAGCGTCGGTGTCGGCCCCAGTAGTGACGCTGGCCGCTTCCCCTCAGAGGGGACGGGACGGCGCGAGCAGGATGCAGGCGCCGCCGCTTCAGTACGAGTTCTTCAGCGAAGAGAACGCGCCCAAGTGGCGGGGGCTGCTCGTGCCCGCCCTGAAAAAGGTGAGCGCCTTGGCAGCATTGGGGGGGGGAAGGGAGGGAGCAGCAGCAGCCGCCGAGTCTGCTTCCAACAGGGCTGTTAACGTAAAAACTGGAAAAGGTGTGCTTTGTCGTGATTGGACTTCGGCGGGGTCGTGGTGCGAGTAGGTGAGGGAAGTAAGGTACGCTTCTGGTGGCGTTCACGCTTGGGGGGGTCTGGTCGATGTTGTCCTTTTCGTGGGAAGGGTGGCAATTCCAGATGAGATCCGATACGTTTTCCACCCATGTCAATGGGGCAAGTCTAGTGCTGCCAGACGTGTGTGGTACTCATCGGTGTACCCTTCGGTTTTGGACAGCTGGGCATTTTATGTTGAGATTATCAAGGTATGTATGTCAGTGCTGATATCCACCAGTTGAAAATATTTTTCTCTGTCCGGACATATTTGTACTGCTTTTTGTGGTATGAGCTCTCTTTTTCTTTCTTCTCTCTCTCTCTCTCTCTCTCTCTCTCTTTGGCCCATAGCTAAAATTCTTGGAGTGTTTTGCATATAATAGACAGCAACTGGAGGCCCCAAGCCTCTGGATCTTTTTTCTTCCTCACCCATCTGATCCCTACTTGTCAACCTACAGAGAAAAGAAGTACTGCATGAAGACAGTGTTGTGTAGCAACAGAACTTGGCACTGCACTGTTAGGGACAGATTATTTTTCAGTCCCAGTTTTTCCTCAGTGGTCTTCGTCCTAAGGTAGTTCCTGACCAGTAGAACATACCCTTTAAGTAGCAGATATGTGCATACATGAAGTATAACCCAAGGGAATGTGAGCATTTGTGCAACAAATTAGATAGATTTAGATTCCAAGAATCAGCTGTAACTACCCACATAATTTTTCATGGGAATTGTTTGAACTCGTGCTTCTTATTAAAGATAACAGAAGTAACCTATTTTATGGGTCTTGCTTTCATTGTAAATGGGCTTTTCATCCATTGATATGTTGATTATTAGCAGGTGCTTGGCACAGAATTAAAGGACTTTATAAACTCTCACTTGGCTGAAATCCTATTGTTTAGCCTAGTAAATCACAATTAGAATAGGCCCAGTGAATCCATGGAACTTACAGAGGAGCTTATTTATTTAAAATATTATTAAACCTGCCTTTCTGCTTAAAAAGGATCCAAGGCAGCTTGCATAATTTAAAGACAATATTTAAAGCTAAAAGCAAGGAGTATACAAATACTAGAAAGGGTCAAATACAATACTATAACACAGTAAACAAGAAAAACACAGTCAAAAGCAGTAAGCCACAACAATCCATTTAATACCCCACTCGGGTAACTGGTCATTGAAGGAAAGTTTGCCCAAAGAGAAAATCTTTGCTTGCTTGTGGAAAAACAGCAAAGATGGGGCCTGCCTGGCCTTTTGTGGGACGGAGTTCCTAAATCTGGCAGCAGCAACAGAGAAGGCCCCCTCCCATTACCCCCATTCTTTTGACTCACAAAATCCCCACTGCTTTAATAGACTTACTCTAGTTGCGACTTACTACACTGACCAACAGGATTTCATCTGTTATTTATAACAGTTAGACTATAGGATTTAATAGACTACATCTAGTATCCATCCTTGAAAGATCTGCATGCTGTGGATTGTTCTTGACTTGTAGGTCAAATTTCCCTGAGTATTAGTGCATCTAAGGACTTGCCTTGCATATTTTTATTTTATCTGCACATGGCTATTTTTTATTTGTGAACTTGGTCATATTTTACAGATGGAATGGAGTTGCTGTGGGTATGTGTAAATATGTTGTGTTGAAACTAAGCTTTGACACCATTTTAATTCTCATGTTTTGGTTATGGTAACTGATCCATAGCAAGACTCGATAGTTTAACCAAGGCATGATATCTAGCTTTATATTGGTTCGTTAACTCACTCAACTTTGAGAAGCTCACTTTTATATAAATTCCTGGATAAGTATTTAATGATTGGTCTATTGGTGCTAAAGTGAGTGTATATATGCAACAATATTTTGGCATGATGATATAATACTGATATTGTTTAGCTGAACCCACGATCGTCCTTCTGTGAATGGAAGCATTCTTCTCATTGAAGGTACTTCTACTCACTTTTCAAGGATTACTCCTTTTGCCTACACTGCAACCTAGGCTCAGCAGGATCCCCAGCTCTCTTCCTAGTCCTTGTAGAGAGTATGGCTTGTAGAGAAGGGACACAAGCTCAATTGTATCTGAGTCCTACTCGCTATATATGGATGTTTGCAATTGATATGAAAAAAAGGTCTTTGGACGTTCTCTGAAACAAAAAATGAAACAGTCCTGGAATGATTCTGAAGTTAATCAAGTTTAAAGAATGATCTCTTAATCAAAGCTAGTTACTGCCATTAGTGCCATATACCTCAATTGCAGCAGGCATGCTTTGTTTACAAGGTTGGAAAGGGCTGAGTTATAATTTAATTTATATTATGAACAGGATTTTCACCATTGATTGAGATTCTGTCTCAGCCTCTTACAACAAATTGTTAAAATTGTTGTGGCATCTCAGCTGCTGTATTAACTTTCACAGTTCATGATAAAATGCACAAATTGGACTGTGCAGAGCCTGTATTTAAATGATAGATATATGCATATATAGGCTAAAGTATACTTTGCTTGCAGAGCTGTAAGAGTCAAACACAGTGGGCAAGTTCAGATAACATAACAAGCTAGTGATATATGAGTATCATTGCTTATCTCACTACCAGCAGTGTGCTAGGGTGCTGGTACACTGCACTGTTTGATCACAATAGTTCCATTTGGTAGCTTGCCACCATCCAGATTCAGAAAACTGTAATTAATCATAACTATAGTTAGTTTCAGACAAGCTAAATGCAAACTTTATTTATTGAAACTGGCTTATTTAAACCAACTGTGATTAAGAATGAGCATGGTAACCAATGCGGACAATATGCCATGATGTTTTGTAGAATGAAAGTGAAAGCTCTCATATGGCTTGCAGCTACACCAGAGAAGGAAAAAGTTGAGCATGTTACACTACAGCTCTCTGGAGCTTGTCTTCATCTACAGTTATTGTGATTACTAAGCACTAAACCTGGATGTAACCTAAGACATTCTGGAGTTGCTAATGCCCATATTTGCTTCAGCAGTCTTTTATGTTTCTGTTGTCATTCAACTTGATGAAACAAGATGTTTTAACTTGCTTATTTATAACTGAAGAATTATTTTCTTTCCTACTTTTCATACACTATACGGACAGATTATTTCATATATTTCCACTATTTCTTTAAAAGAAATTGGTAATAAAGCAAGAAGCAGGACACAGATGCAATAATCATAGTCCTATGGTTGGTTTTCTCTTCTTCCTCCCTCCTTGTGCATGATTTATTTCCTTTCCTTCTCAGAGCTGCAACTTAATTAACTAAGAAAGGTTCATTTCAGTCTGACTTTATACCTAGTTATTGGACAGACACTCCTCAATTCAGAGCATGTTACCATAGTCTCTTGAGACTGCAGGATGCCTATGCTGGACAGACACTGTTTTGTTTCCAATGTAGGTCACGTATGCCAGGAACTAGACAGAGGGAGAGGATCCCTGTTGGTTCTGCTGGACTTCTCAGCAGCTTTCAATACCATAGTATCCTTCTGACCTATCTCTCTCGGCTGAGACTTGGAGGCACTGTAAAACAGTGTGTCCAGTCCTTCCTATGGGAAAGAACTTTGAAGGTGGTGCTTTGGGATTCCAGTTCCGCACTATAGCCACTGGCCTATGGGATCCCTCAGAGTTTTGTCTTCTGTGTTATTTACCATCTGTGTGAAACCGCTGGGAGAGGTTGTCACCAGTAAGCAGATGACACGCAACTCTCTCCTTTCCATCTAAATCCAAGGAAGCTGTTTTGACTCTAGATCAGTCTTTTGTGTCAGTATTGGATTAAATGGGGGTGAATAAGATGAAACTGAGGTGCTCCTGGTCAGTTGAAAACCAGATCAAGGAATAAGGATGCAGCCTACGCTGGATGGGATTACCCACCCTCTGAAAACAGGTGCACAGCTTGGGAGTGCTCCTAGATTTGTCTCTAGCTTGGATGCCGAGGTTTTGGTGGTGGCCAGGAGTGCCTTTTCACAATTAAAATTACTATGCCAGATGTATGCACGGTTTCCTGAAAAGGTCTAATCTGGACACAGTGAAACATGCTTTAGTTACATCCCAGCTGGATTACTGTAATGTGCTATATGTGGGGCTACCTCTAAAAATTGTTCAGAAACTTCAGCAGATAAAAAATACAGAAGCCAATTGCTGGGCACAGGGATCCAACACCCCCCCCCCCCCGTTACAGCAGCTTCATTGGCATCCATTCCATTTCTGGGCACAGTTCAAAGTGCCGGTTCTAACCTATAAAGTCCTAAACAGTTTGGGCCCAAACTATCTTGAAGACAGTGTCTCCTTGATGAGCCTACTCAGCTGTTAAGATCAGGAAAGGCTTTTCTCTTAGTTCCACCACCTTCACTTGTTTGATGGGAAATGCCAGAAAGGGCCTTCTCTGTTACTGCTCCCAGACTTGGAACTCCCTCCCACAGAAGGGCCCCATTTCTGCTATCCTGCCACAAGCAGACAAAGATCTTTCTCTTCAGGCAAGCTTTCCCTTAGTGACTGACTGTCTCAGGGGGGTTATTAAATAGATTGTTTTGCCTTACTGCTTTGAATGTGTGTTTAGTGTTGCTTTTGTTTACCATTATTTAATGTGGTATTTGTTTGATCCTTTTTAGTACAGTGGTGCCTCGCTTAGCAGTGTTAATTGGTTAAAAAAAAAAAACACATCACTATGGGAAAACATCGCTAAGCGAAACACCATTTCCCATAGGAATGCATTGAAAACCGGATAATCCGTTCCAATGGGAACAGATTACCATCCTTAAGCGAAAATCGCCATAGGAAACATCGCTAAGCGAAACGCGGCTCCCCCATTGGAATGCATTGAATAGGTCTCAATGCATTTCAATGGTTTTGCAATGTCCGTTTTCGCTATTTTTAAAGTGTCTTAAATGTTCAAAAACTGTTTAAAATGCTTCTAATCATTAGTGCACCCTGTAAAACCTTTGCAAACTTAATTTGGCTTTGTTCTGAGTCTTCGTTAATTTTTGGTGAATTCCCTCCCCCATTGGAATGCATTGAACTGTAGGTTTGACAGGGAGGGGGGTAGCGCTCTGCTCATTACCCCCAGGATTTTCACTTTTACCCCATTTGGGGTAATTTACCCCTGTTCCCCGACCACTGAACTATGTCTTAATATTGACTCTTAGGTGTTTAATTCTGGGTCTTTGTACCAATTGAGAAAATTATAAAAATACAACTTTCAGCTTACCTTCTGCATTTTCCTTTAGGAGCATTTAGGCTCATATTTTTCCATTTGTTAAAGTAGTAACTCTAGTTCATTTGATATAAGTGTTTTAGATATTCCATAGAACACCGATCCAAGTAAGCATCTTTAAGATTGTAGTGAACATCTGGCTCACTTGTGGATATCACTCAATAAGTTAGTCAGATTAAGTATTGTATTAATAGCATGCAGTTTGTACAACTCTATGTGTCATTTAAACTAAAATGTAGTATTATTTTAAAAAGAGATAAGCAGACAGTAATGGATGTCTTAAAATTCAAGTGGGCATTTTGGTTTAATCTTATGTATACAATATTGCATCTAAAGTTACATTTTATTGTGTAAAAATACGCATTGAAAATTTTTTAAATGATATGTTAAAGGAGTGGTTTATTGTCACATTCCAGTGACTGTCTGTGCCCAAGTAGTAATTTGAACCCAGGTCACCTGAGCTGTAGTTCAACAGTGTCAAATATACCACACTTATATATTGTGTGAGTGTGTATGTGCATGCATGTATTGAATTTCGTTTAAAAATTATACCCCATAAAAATCTGTATCAATCTGATAAGCAGTTGGAAATGTGTTGCAAGCTGTGGCAAGTTATTCGGGGGGGGGATTATGCATAGGCGTAGTTATAATTTTGAACAAATGTGTTGTTGAGTGATTTCTGACTAATTTGAAATGTACACAGAAAATGAGCCAGAATTCTAAAGAATCTTTGTTGTAAATGGATGAGTGCTGTTGCTTATTTGTTTCTGTGTAGGTTCTCCCATTGGTGTATACTGCTAAATTAAACAGGAATTCAGAGCTAATCATGTCATCCAAACTGAGAACCAGGCCTATCACTCCTCTTCCAAGCCAGGTTTCTTAAGCCATGAACAAACCCTGGTTTGTCAACCTGGCTTATAAAATGAATGACCACCTAGGATCCCTGGTTAGAATGATATGATAGTGTGTCACTTCTGTTAACTACAGGATTCAGGTGGGAATGAATGGGCTATATGTACCAATATGCACCCTCATTCATAGTTTATTTTATCTATTTAAAATATTTTTATGCCACTTTTCTCCTTAAAAAGAACCCAAGGCAGCTTACATCCTTGAAAGGGAATATTTAAAGCTGAAACAATGAGTATACAGCAAGTGGTCCCCAACCTTGGGCCTCCAGATGTTTTTGGACTTCAACTCCTAGAAATCCTGGTCAGCGGAGGTGGTGGTGAAGGCTTCTGGGAGTTGTAGTTCAAGAACATCTGGAGGCCCAAGGTTGGGGACCACTAGTTTACATCATTAAAAGACAATATTTAAAGCTAAGAACAATGAGTATAAAGAGACAGTTTACATCATTAAGTGACAATATTAAAGCTAAAATAATAAGTATGCAAATACTAAAAAGGAACAAATAGATAATCTGAGAGATGGTAAACACAATTAGAAGTAAAGAGATTCGGTCTTTGGAAGATTAGCATGATAGTTAAATGGGTTTTTCCATAAGACTGAGTGTACTGTTGTGCCCCGCTGGATGATTACCCCACTCTACGACAAATCCGCTTAATGTTGATGTTTTTGCAATCGCTTTTGCGATCGCAAAACAATGTTTTAAATGGGGTTTTTTTGCTGTGCGATGATCGGTTCCCTGCTTCGGGAACCGATTTTCGCTTTACAATGATCAGCACACAGCTGATTGTCAGGTTTCAAAATGGCCACCGGCTGAAGAAAATGGCCTGCCGCTGTTTTCTAGGACGGATTCCTCGCTTTACAGGCACCAAAATGGCGGCCATATGGAGGATCTTCGCTGGGCAAGCAGGTATTCAGCCCATTGGAACATATTGAATGGTTTTCATTGCGTTTCAATTGGGTTTTTTATTTCATTTGATGACGTTTTCGCTCTACAGTGATTTCGCTGGAACGAATTAATGTCGTCAAGCGAGGCACCACTGTACTTGGACCTATCAGGTGTGACAATCACCTTAATAGCCAACTGAGAGTGAAGTTAAATTAAAAAACAGAAGACAAGAAAGGGACCATCATCTGAACAAAGTCTTCAGAATCTTTGATTGTGAACATATTAGGTTCTGTATGAACTACATTTTTTCAATATTCACACGAAATAAGAAGCTGTAATTTGTTGAAGACAAACTAAGACATCCTCTGCTCAAGTGCAGACTAAACCCCATTGGTGTGCATTCATGGGGACCACGAAGAAGGACCAGTAAAATCAGGGAGCCGGACAGGGGACAGATTCTATTTGTCTTCAGTGTGGAAGGGATTGTCACTCTCAAATTGGCCTTCTCAGCCACACCAGATGTTGTTCCAAGACCTGTATTCAGAGCACACCATAGTCTCTCGAGACTGAAGGATGCCTACACAGTTTGTTGAAGCATGAACAGAAGCTTTTTGTATTTTCCCCTTGCTGATGGAGGGACAGAGATGGGCACAAGCCCAGCTTACATCTGCTTATCTTTGTCACAGCAAGCTGTTCTGTCAGGATATACACAGAAGGTTGTTTTAGGGGAGCACTATTCAACACCATGTCCTTTGGCCTGTAGTGTCCATTAGGGCTCCACTTTATTATTTAACATCTACATGAAGCTGCTAAGAGAGGTCATTCAGAGCTGTGGAGTGAGATGCCACCACTACAGTATGCTGATGACACCCATTTCTAATGTTCCATGTATCCGAACAATGAGGAAGCAGTTAAGGCGCCTAAATGTTATCTTTGCCTGATAATGGCCTAGATGAGGGTGAACAAGCTGAAACTGATCCTGACAAGACAGGTGCTGCTGTCTGCAGAAAGTCAGATTTGGAATTGGCATTCAACCTATTCAGGAAGGGTTGTCATTTTTTGTCTATTCAAGAAGGGTTGCGAACAGGTCAGGTTGATAGTCTGGGAGTGCTCCTTGACTCTGCATTGTTACTGGGCTGCCAGGTGGCAGTGGTGATGAGAAGTATATTTGCACAACTCCATTTAGTGCACGAGTTGCAGCCTTTCTTGAGTTGACTTGACTTAATAACAATCATCCATGCCTTGGTTAAATAATGCCCTGGCTCTACATGGGGCTGACCTTGAAAGGGTCTACAATCTTAAGTTGATGCAACATGTAGCAACTAGGCTACTAATTGAAGAGTGGCATTGTGGTCATATGGCCCTGATATTGAAAGACCTGTACTGGTTGCCCATTGCATGCTGGGCTCAATTCAAGGTTTTTACTTTTAAGCCATAAACAGCTTGAGGTCTGGCAATCTGAGGGACCACCTCTCTCATTATGACTTCAAGATCTTCAGGAAAAGCGCTCTTAAATATACTAATAGTTTCAGAATTTGCCTAACAATCAAGGGGGAGAGGGCTTTCTCCTGCATGGTTCCTGCCTGCTGCCTCAAGTGATACTATGCAAAATGAAACTGTCATAAAACAGATGAATCCTTTTCAATGTGCATAAATTGATTGATTGCATATCTTGTGCCCAGTATGTTATATATTTAAAACTTTATACAAGTGTTTAGTGTTTTCTAAGATGCTCTTAGAAGTAGAAAATCTGAATTTCATTATTTAATGTTAAATATAGGTTCAAATGCAAGTCCACCCTAAACTGTCATCTACTGAAGATGCTTTGCAGTATGTTGAGGAATTAATTCTGCAGTTGTTAAACATGCTGTGTCAAGCTCAGCCAAGAAGCTCCCAGGATGTAGAGGTAGGGAAAATTTTTTGGTAGTTTATTTTCTTTCTGTTTATGAATTACTGATAGTTTTGTTATACATTAGACAACTGGAGCATTCATCATTGAACTATAATGATGCATTAAGTATGCAGTACTGTATTTATGAATTTGTTTTGAAATGGACTTTAAAATATATGTTACTCTTTAGGTTTGTTAATTAATTGCTTCATATGTTTTATAGAAGGAATAAACAGATAATTTTGATCCTTGCATTATGTGCAAAATTTAAATGAGAATGTATGGGTTCATTAATGAGTACTGTTTGTTAATGAGTTATATCAAACCGATGACAAATCTTTAGAGGACAGAGAATAGGGGGGCAGATACTTTCTACATCCGGCAAGTTGGTATGAAGCCAATATTAAACAGAGTATCACTCCACCTATAAAAATAAGTTCACTGTAGGCACATTCTCTTGTATCCAGCATTATCACTAGTCATGATATGTGGTATTGTGGCATAGTGTACCTTTTACCTCCTTTAACATAGTCTTCAGTTTTTGCCTTTCCTGGACAGAGGTAATGTGACTACAGTCATCTATACTCTAGTAACTGTGTTTGTGCAAACACTGTCTGAGCAGTCCACAACCCATCAAAACATAATTACAGTCATAAAAATAAACAGGAAAATACAGTAAAAACCCTGTCTCTACCTTAATCAATAAAACTTGCATTTAAATTTAAAACAGATTTGAACATTCCAGGTCAGTTAGCAAAATACTTGGAAAAAGCAAAGCACCAACAAACAAACTCCCAAGACCCATCGGAAATGGGGGGAAAACACTCCCAAAAGCAACCAAACCCCCAATACCCATCAGGAATGGGGGGGGGCAAAAAACAAGCAAACCCTCCAAGACCCATCACAGCACAGAAACATAATTCCCCTCCCAGCCCAAAACCACACTGTAAAAACACCCAGAACAGTTTTTAAAAAGCAGAAAGCAGCACCTTACCTTACCATGCAGCCTCCTCCAGTTGCACACTTTCTAACTGCTGGGGCAAAAAATCTACAAAGAAGCAGCCTCGTCACGTTAGCAATTTGAATTTCCCACCATTTTCTGTTGGTAAGTGGAAGCTCCGGTTGCAAGTAGAAGCAAAATTTTGCGGCCGGAGCTGGTTGTACCTCAAAATGGCCATAAGTAGGGATGTTCGTAAGTCAAGGCACCACTGTATTAGCTCTTTGTGCCCCCTTAGGTGTCACCATTTTTAGCATTAAGGATTCTAAGGAAAGAGCTAATTTATGGTTGGGTAAGTATTTTGCGGAAGACATGTTCTGACAACTTCTCCAGGTTAAATTACTGTAATGTTTTCTGCATGGTACTCCCATGAAGGCAAGTCTAGGACCATCAACACTGTACAATATGGTAGCTAGGATTCAGACTAGTTTAACCAAATGGACCCTAATTATAAAAAAATTATACCGGTGTCCTCTTCTCTTCTGAGCTACACTCAAAGTACCAGCACTTGCCTTTCAAGTTACAAATTGCTTAATACATTGAAGAGCACCTCCTTCCATTTCAGTTTATATTGCATAATGATTACTTGTCTGAATGCTTTTTAAGTGCATTGTGTTTTGAAGTCATGAAGCATTAGTGGCATTCTGATATGTATGCCCTCTTGAGGTGCATGTGTTAGTGTATACATCAGTGTATACAATTCAAGTGCCAGGTAAAAAAAGTTGTACTTATCTGGGTGTTTTGATTGGTTTTTAATTATTTAGCTGATTGGTAGGTTGTTTTATCCTTCCTATTTTTTATTTCTATAAATTGATTTTATATGTGTGTGTGTGTTGTATTGTCATCCCTTTTGAAATATAGTAAATGATTTCGATTAAAATGGAAGAAAGCAATTTTCAGTTACTTAGCATATTGTCAGAAACATGTGACTTCCTGAATGTATACTTACCAGTAGTTTGTTTTGTGTATGTTAAAAGGATCGTGTCCAAAAAAGTTTTCCGCATCCTATTGATAAGTGGGCTATAGCTGATGCACAGTCTGCAATTGAAAAGAGGAAACGAAGAAATCCATTATTTCTTCCAGTAGAAAAAATTCATCCATTGTTAAAAGTAAGTTTACTTTATAAAAGTTTGCAAAATTAATGGAAGTTGTTCATGTTGTTCATGGCTGATATCATTTCTGTAAAGCAGATTTGCTTATATCAGGATTTTCTCTTCCAGTCTCATTTTGGCTTATTTGATTTGGTAGTAAAGATTCCAGCTAGGGCTCTACAAATTTTGGCTGGCATTAAGTGACCAGCCAATATTTGTGTAAATCAGTATGACTGCAAGGGCAATTAACTTTTCTCTACCTCAGTAGAAAGGCAATAAGTTCTCAGAGTTCTCGAAGGCTTTCACAGGCAGGATCCAATGGTGGTTGTAGGTTTTTCGGGCTATTTGGCCCTGTTATGGAGGTTTTTCTTCCTACTGTTTTGCCACTCTCTGTGGCTGACATCTTCAGAGGACACACTGAACCAGAACACAGGCAGAGTTCTAACTCCTGTCAAGCACAGGTCAAACAGCCCAAAAATCTACAACAACCAGTTGTCAGAGTTGTCAAAACCAGGAGTTATGCTCATTGTGGTAAATAAATCTGTAGAACTTGGTTTTTGACTGGTAAAGATATTCTTCAGTGGAAGTGCAGCCAGGTCTAGAAAAATATTTTTAGAGTCATTGATGCCTAATAACCAGCTTTATTCATGGATGAACAAAATATGAATGCTTAGGCACAAGATTAAATTTAAACATGTGGTTCCTAAATCAGATATTATGTTTGTGCTTGCTGCAAAATGTTCATATGTTCTCCATTCCTTGTCACCCCTCTCTTCCACATAAGGGTTTTTAGCCCCCTGAGCTGGTTTTGGAGCATACAGAAGTTGTAATGGAAAGGGACATTCCCTGGTTCTGTTGAGTTTTAGTGATCCACTAGTGGAATACTGTTGAATACTGTCCCGGATTGTTGAAACTGTACCTGTCTGATGTTTCTAGCAAAAAATAATGAAGACCATGTTGAATCCAATTATAGCATTCCACTTATAAACCTGCTTATATCAGCAAATCTGCCAGGGGACCGATTTACTCTACCCACTTAATACAATCTCAGAATATGCTTTGGAGGGTGGGGCACGCCGGGAAACCGATTTTTGCGTAATTGAGGGTTTTGATAGGGAGAGAAGAGAAGGAGGAAGTTCATTGCAATGCAGACTTGTGATACTGCTTTGTTGGATTTAAACCTGTCATAACTTACCTGTTCAGCTAACATGAAATGTAATTAAATTACATTACAGAAGCTGGTGAAGCTAATGTCACCAATAGCTTAATATTTCAGCTTATTGTTAGTCCTGTTGAACACAGTTTTAAACAAGACACCTGATGAAATGTGTTTCTGTAGAAATATGTTCAGAAATACGAATTTCTGAAAGTTTATTATTTACACCACCCATAAATACTATAATGCATTATCCATTTCAGGAAGTTCTGGGTTATAAAGTCGACCATCAAGTATCTGTTTACATAGTAGCAGTATTAGAATACATTTCTGCAGATATCTTAAAGTTGGTTGGGAACTATGTACGAAATATAAGACACGATGAAATTACGAAACAAGATATTAAAGTGGCAATGTGTGCTGATAAGGTAGGTGGAATTTATTTCTGCAGTTACTAACACATCAAAGTTTTTCCAAAAATACAAGGGATCTATGAGCAGAAAAGGCTTTGACGCAGTAGAAGCTTCACTGAGTGGAAATGGTGAGGTGATTTTCCACTCTGCATTGCCTCTCATCAGAGAAGACGACGACTCCAGATTTTGGTTACTACCATATTTTTCCGTGTATAAAACAACACTTTTTCCTTAAATAATTTGAGAAAAAAATGAGGGTTGTTTTATACGAGGAAGGCAGCTCTTTACCACTGCCTTTTGTGAAGGCACGAGGCTTTAGCAAAAAGGGGAGGCGTTGCTCCCTTCCTTTCTGCTAAGCTCCGTCAGTCACTTTGACAGCCACTTTCCTTGCCTTTTGCCAAGGCACAGGGCTTAGCAAAAAGGGAGTCCTTTGATCCCTGCTTTTTTAAATTTGGGATTAGAAAAGGGGGGTCGTCTTATACTTTGGGTTGTCTTACAAACAAAAATACTGTAAATCTTTTTCTGTGGTTAAATTTTCAACACATTTCTCAACTCACAAACTAGCTAACTACTTGAAATATCATTAAATTTAACAATAGCTGATTGTGATTGTCATTTTATACTAATTAACAAGTTCATGTTTGTAGCTGATTAACTAGTGACAATTCATTGCCATGATTTATGCAGTTGCACTTAACACTAATACAAATCTCTGTAGGATTTTGGCATTAATCCATAAATGACTGGGTAACTTCAATATTCTGTTCATCTCCAACTTCATTGTTTAATATTTGGAGTGAATCCCTGATACTTCAGCAAAATTAGACCAGGGTTTTTCTTCTATGTTGTTGACAATTGAATCTTTTGTAATGTAACAGTAAGATTTGCTTTCTTTTCTTGCCATGACATTAGATATTTTACTAGCAGTGCTGGTAGATCAAGCAATCTAATTTTAGGTAACTGCTAGTTTCCCAAATGATTTTCTTTTCTTGGTGCAGGGTGTGTTTAATCAGTGCCAAAATCTTGTACATCTTATTCTACCTTCCTAGTGCTTGTTTTGCCTTGGTTATATTTTTCTACCAAAACCTACTTTTCTTTTCCACCATGTTCATACAGGTGTTGATGGATATGTTTCATCAGGACGTGGAAGATATTAGTACACTGACTTTATCAGATGAAGAACCTTCTACATCAGGAGAACAAACCTACTATGATCTTGTAAAGTCATTCATGGCAGAACTTCGGCAGTACATAAGAGAACTAAATCTCATAATAAAAGTGTTTAGAGAACCTTTTATTACCAATATCAAGTTGTTTTCAGGACATGTAAGTACCTTTCTTGGAAAAAAAATATTCTACAATTTTTACATTATATTCAAAGTTCTGCTGCCTGAGTGGAATACAAGCCTATGGGGGGGAGGGGGAACTAATGAGGACAAATGTTTTAAAACCAAGAGAGACTACACGTATTATCTGAAGTGATAGTGTAATCTAGGATGGACAATGTGCCAAGTGCAGGCTGCATGTAGGATATTCTTGCAATCTGTAGGACCATAACAATGGATCACTCCTAGATCAGCCAAACTGCACTTTGTTTTGATGTGTGAAACCATTAGGGAGTTAGCTGTCTCGTTTCCTTCCCGAAAACCTAGAGAATTAACAAAAGCAATACCTGAACAATTTCTATGATGTACTGAGGAAGGATACAAGCCAGAGTTTCAGTTCCTGCCAGGTATATGATGGAAGGCTGAGTCAACCTTGAGCCAGCTGCTTGGGATTGAATCCAGATCGTGAACAGAATTTTGAGTATACTACAGTATTGCAGTTTAGCCACTACACCATGAGGCTCTTGTAGCTGTATCAGTTTCTCTTCCATCCCACCTTCAGTTACTATGGATGAATCATTTGGCTCTTACCCTGAATGCATCATTGCTTCTTTTTAATAATTATTCTAATTTCAGAGACTTGATGAGGTTAAAGCACTGAAAATTAGATTGACTTTAAGTCACTGTGGATTTTCTTTTGCATTTTGTATTCATTTTGGTAGCTTCAAACAGCTGTAACTATAACATTAATATTAAAATATTATTATTTCTAACAAATCTAAATATTCATATCTAGCTCATATTTCTTCTTCTTTAAAACATGTGACATTGATAACAGGTGTACCTTAAAGATTAACTGATGTAAATATTATTGAGTAAAACAAATTGTGCTGCTGATTTGTAATATTTCCTAACATATACATGATTGTGTTTTTACCAGTGTTCTTCTTATTCCAAAATTGCTTAGTGTAAGCTCATATATTCTGTTCTTGTGACAAAACATGACATAACAGTAAAAACAGTAAAGCTCAGTATATAGAAGCAAGTTTCTTCAGCGTGGTCTCTGTAAATACACACAAAAGGGTTAATTCAGCACCAGCGATGGACCTCTCGGAACATTCTCGAGCTTAAAGAGAAAAGTAACAAAGTTTAAGGCTGCCTGTACTGCGCATGCTCCACCCGCCCAAACCTCAGTTCCATTTTTCCGTGAGTGATTTGGAACCTCTCGCTTCGAGCTCTCTAAGTACTTGCTTTTTGGATTGGTTTTTTCGGATATTTGACTCGTTTCTGGCTGACTATTGTACTTTCTGGTTCCCTTGACGCGGACAGTTTATTTTAGGACTTCTCTTATAGTTTTCCCCCTCAATTTGGCTGCCTCGGTTTTTTCCTGCCCTTTTTTCTCTCATAAACGGCTCCAGTAAAGCTGATTTTCAGTTACCTGCCCTGACAGGGACGTGGCAATTGCTGGGCTATTTTCCGGTTTTGGACTTTTCGCTTTTTCGCTTCACCTTCGGATCAGTAAGACTGTTTTTCCCCCCGTCTATCTTATGTCCCCTTGGGGCCCTTTTAGCCGCTGTGTTGTCTGTTTAAGAAAACTCCCCTTTCATGACGGGCATGATAAATGTCTTTTTTGCCTAGGGGAGTCATCTACAGACCATGAGTCGATGTCGGAGATAGCCCCCTCGCTTCCTCCTCGACAAGCCGAGCCAATTCCACCGACTGGCATCTCTTCCCCGACACAGAGTCAGCTTGCTGGAGCAACTACAGGCTTGACTTCTGCCCCACATAGCCCACTGTCTGCTGGGTGGGGATCTTTGGCTCCTTCGATCTCGTTGGTGCCTTCGAGGCCAAGATCTCTACCTAGGAAGCACTCTGCTAAGACGAAGCACTGGTCGCCGGATCGATGTCAGTCCCCACGCAAGAAGATAATTGTGCTTCCGTGCTCGTCTCAGCATCGACATCGGGACCATTCTTCCAACTCAGATGACTCTATAGAAAGACGGCCTCGGCGTCGACATCGGCACCGGAGGGACTACACTTCCTCTGAAGATTCTTCGACATCCACCGATCGACGTCGAAGGCACAGGAAGATGAAATACGTTTATGTCTTCATCTTGCTCCACTTCTCCTCAACCCCGTCATCGTTGATGTCATGACTGGATCGACACTGAAGCCCCAAAGAACAGTGAACCCATTCCAACCACACTTGTTCCCTCTGCGTCGATGGTACCCATCGTTGATGTCATGACTGGATCGACACTGAAGCCCCAAAGAACAGTGAACCCATTCCAACCACGCTTGTTCCCTCTACGTCGACGGTACCACAGTCTTCCTTACAGACTCAGTTGTCTTCTCTCGATGTCGAAAGCCATGGTCAAAAGAGAACGCACTATGTCTTCTCTTCGGACCCGGATGAAGCCTCCTCTGCAGTGTCTTCGGATTCTGAGCCTGACTTGCCTACTCATCCTGCTCAGGGTGACTTACCAGAAGGAGAGGTGATGGGTTCGGATACTGCAGACCCTCATGCATCGTCTCCCTCGGAGGATTTTTCCTCCTATTCCCAGATGCTCGCTAGGTTGGCAAAGACTCTTAAACTTGAAGTTGACCAACCTGCTCCCCCTGCGGAAGACTTGATTTTTGGATACATCAGTCAGGAGAGGTCTCCTCCACCAAGCTTGAATTTCGTACCAGTTATAATGGAAATCATCAAAGAGTTTTGGGATCAGCCTTCCACTTCGAATCCCATCTCCTGGCGTATGGAAAATCTCTACCGTGTCCACGGGTCAGACACTAAGTTTCTCCTTAAACATCCTATACCCAATTAGCTGATAGTGGAGACCAGCTGTACCAAACCCACGGGGAAATGTCATGTTACCCCTACCAATAAGGAGGGAAAGAAATTGGAAATCATAGGAAGGAAAATCTATTCCTTGATGTCCTTTCTTCTACGGATAATCAATTACCAGACCACACTTGGAGCTTACCAAAAGCAACTCTGGCTTAAGATGTTGCCTGGCATAAAAATGATCCCTGAGGATGTTCGCCAGGGCTTCTTGAACTTTTACAATGAGGCTCAAGGTGTCTAGACACCAAAGATTGTCAACCAAGGCTTCTTGAACTTTTACAATGAGGCTCAAACAGTGTCTAGACACCAAAGATTGTCAACTAAACATGCAGTGGAGGCTGCCTCCAGAGTCCTCATGTCTGCAGTTACTTTGCACAGGCATGCCTGGTTAAGAGCAGCTAACATTTTAGAGGATGTTAAAACTAAAATGGAGAATCTCCCCTTTGATACCACAGGCCTGTTTAATGAAAAAACGGATAGTCACCTTGAGGATTTACACAAGGCTAAGAAGACAGCGAAATCATATTCTATTCAGCCTTAGACCAGATATAATAAATTTCGGTGGAGAAAATCATACTCTCAGAACCCTCAATCCTCTCAGCAATACAGGCCGTTCAAAAATGTACCTCAGGACAGATCCTCTCAGTCGTCCTCTTCTGCTCCAAGCTACCGCCATCAACAGTCACAGCGCAGGCACTCTTACAAGCTGCCTACGAAAAAATCCAAACAGTATCTTTGACTCTGCAATCACAACAGTTGCAACTCCCATCACCCCAAGACTTCATCCATTCCTGTCAAACTGGCTTGCTATCACAAATGACTCTTGGGCTTTAAAAATCATCCAATTCGGCTACCAGCTAGAATTTATAGAATATCCTCACCTCTAGGATATATAAAATATACCCTTCGATCCCGCACTAGAGGAGGAGGTTCTGTCACTTCTAGCAAAAGAAGCTATTCAATTAGTTCTACAAAAGGACTAAAAATGGATTTTACTCTCGGTATTTTGCTGTGCCAAAGAAGGATTGAGGAATAAGACCCATCCTCGACTTAAGGACTTTAAATACTTACCTCCATCCATGTCGCTTCAGGATGGTGACGTTGGAGTCCATAATGCACCTGTTGAGGAAAAACAATTGGTTTGTGGTAGTGGATCTAAAAACCGCATATTTTCACTTGACTATCCACCCACATCACAGGAGATATCTTTGTTTCATATTCCAGGGCAACATTTACCAGTTTCTAGCCCTCCCTTTCGGCCTTTCAACAGCACTGAGGACGTTTACAAAGGTCATGGAACCAGTGATAGCTTACCTGCGTCTTCAGGGGATCCACGTCTACCCCTACATAGACGACTGGTTGGTGGTCTCATCCAGGAGTCAAGCCTTGAAAGACGCGAAGTTCATCCTACGACTGCTTCCCCATCTCAGTCTCACTGTCAACACAGAGAAATCACATCTCAAACCATCCAAGATTGTGCATTACATCAGAGCCAAGTTGGATGGCCTCAAAGGCTGGGTTTTCTTACTTGCAGAACGTATCTTGAAAATCCAGAGGGCTCTCAGGAAGTTTCGGCCCAAAGCTCAGGTAACGGCAAAGCATGCTCAACACCTGCTAGGCCTCATGGCTTCAACCACCCCAGCTCTGTCTCATGCACGGCTGAAAATGAGGTCTTTGCAGTCCTGGTTTCTGGCGCTCTTCGACCCTATGAAGGAGAGCCAAAGAAAGCATCTTCGCGTTACCTCAGAACTTGCAGCTCAATTACAATGGTGGAACTGCATCCCACATCTGGAGATCGGCCGACCCTTCTGACCTCTTCAGCTTACCATGCAAGTAATGACAGATGCCAGCCCTACAGGATGGGGAGCGCACTGAGGCCAACACAAGGTGCATGCTCTGTGGTCCATCCAGGAACAAATGCTCCACATCAATCATCTGGAGATCATAGCTGTCATCAAGGCATTCAAAGCTTTCCTTCCGTTGATACAGGGTCATGGTGTTCAAGTAGTGACGGGCAACACCACAACCATGTATTATATGAACAAGCAAGGAGGAACATGCTCAGGATCTCTTCTTTACCTGGTCATTCACCTCTGGGAGTGGTGCTACCAGCACCATGTATGTCCTGTTGCAATTCATGTCTCCATGACGGAGAATGCTTTGGCAGATGAACTGAGTCGTCTCAGGTCCCAATCACACGAGTGGGAGTTGGACAATGAAGTATTCCACCTACTGTGTTGTCATTGGGGAACACCTCTGATAGACATGTTCGCTTTGCAGAGAAATGCAAAGTGCACCAGGTATGCATCCAGAGCCGGCCATGGCAAGGACTCTCTCGGGGATGCATTTATGATTCCGTGGACTCAGGGACTCTTGTACATGTTTCCTCCTCTTCCTCTGGTGCAGAGATCTCTCATAAACCTTCGCCACAGCAAGGCAGAGGCAATCTTCATAGCACCCTTTTGGCCTCGACAGCCTTGGTTCCTGACGCCCATTAAGATGTCGTCAGAATTGGTGAGGCTTCCGGTGTCGCCCAGTCTGCTGACATGGGACGCGTGCTGGATTTACCATCCAGATGTGGAGACTCTACATCTCACGGTGTGGAAGATCTCTCAGAGATCAAGGACGTATTAGATAGAGCAAAGAAACCATCCACCTCCTTATTGTACAACTACAAATGGAAGAGTTTCTTGAAATTTACTGAGGCCAGGGGTCTTACTCCATCCACTATGTCGCTGTCTACTCTGCTTCAATACTTATGGTACTTATTCAACTTCAATTTGTCGGTCTCCACCATAAAAGTTTACTTTGCTGCCATCATTACCTTTCAGCCTAAGGATTCAGTTGCATCACGCTGGTTCTCCCACCCCACTGTTAAAGCCTTCCTTAAAGGACTTACTAATCTGAGGTCTCCAGTTCGGCCACCAGTTCCTCAGTGGTCACTCCAGTTGGTGTTGAATGTTCTTACCCGACCGCCTTTTGAACCCATGGCTACATGTGACCTCAAAATGTTGTCTTTGAAGTCATTATTTTTGGTAGCTATCACTTCTACCAAAAGGGTGAGTGAACTCACTGCCCTTAGGTCAGATCAACCACCCTTCCGACAATTTTTCAAGGACAAGGTTGTGTTACACCCGGATGTTTCCTTTCTCTCAAAAGTTGTTTCTGACTTCCATCTTAACCAGCCTTTACTGCTACCTACACTTTTTTCTGAGCCTGCAAATGATACCGAATGCATGCTCCATACCCTGGATGTTAGACGAGCCCTTTCTTTCTATGTTGCTAGGACCAAGGACTTTAGGTCCTCTAATAGACTGTTCCTCTGTTACTTTGGGAAGAAAAGGGGCCTTCCTGCTACATCTTCCATGCTCTCCAGATGGCTTGTCTCATCCCGTTGGCGTATGAACTTCAAAACAAAACTCCACCTGAGGGTCTTCGGGCTCATTCCACCAGAGCCATGGCCTCCTCTACAGCCCTACTTCGTGGTATTGATGTGCCTGATATCTGCAGAACAGCCACTTGGTCTGATGCCTCAACCTTCATCACCCACTACAGGCTAGACCTTCAGGCTCAGAGGGAGACAATTTTCGGGAGAGCAGTGTTGACATCCGTCCTTCAGTGACGGCCCACCTTCCAGTAAGTGAGCGTGCTAGTTAACCCTTTTGTGTGTATTCACAGAGACCACGCTGAAGAAAGAGAGGTTACTTACTTGTAACCATGGTTCTTCAAGTGGTCATCTGTGAATTCACACAATCCCACCCAGCCTCCCCACTATCCGTCACTGGTTGTATATGGCTCACTCTTAACTACCTGTGGCGGATAAATGGAACTGAGGTTTGGGCGGCCGGAGCATGCGCAGTATAGGCAGCCCTAAACTTTGTTACTTTTCTCTTTAAGCTCGAGAATATTCCGAGAGGTCCATCGCTGGCGCTGAATTAACCCTTTTGTGTGAATTCACAGGTGACCACTTGAAGAACCATGGTTACAGGTAAGTAACCTCTCTTTTCATAAGTTTGTAACAAAAATTATTTCTACAGATCACTGCTTTTTATGTCATTTTGTATTTCTGCTTAGACACTAAAGATCTGTGATAGCAACTGTAATTAGCAGCAATCAGTTTCAGGAAGCATCTGACTGACAGAATATGTACTTGTTCAGTAAACTGCAAAATGAAGTGAGCCAGACTACTAATTGTTACTTGAAATGGGATTACTTCTTCAATTAAGTTTTTTCTCACTACCTGATTAAGTGTTTAACCCGTGGCTTCACAAATCAAAAGAACAGCTAGGATTCCAAAAGTTCTGTGCCCAAAGGGAGAGTGATCCTTGATTTAGTAGTAGGGGTAAAGGTAAAGGTTCCCCTTGACAATTTTTGTCCAGTCGTGTTCGACTCTAGGGGGCGGTGCTCATCCCCGTTTCCAAGCCATAGAGCCAGCGTTTTGTCCGAAGACAGTCTTCCATGGTCACATGGCCAGTGCGACTTAGACACGGAACACTATTACCTTCCCACCGAGGTGGTCCCTATTTATCTACTCTCATTGGCATGCTTTCGAACCGCTAGGTTGGCAGGAGCTGGGACAAGCGACGGGTGCTCACTCCATTGCATGCATTCGATCTTACAACTGCTTGGTCTTCTGACCCTGCAGCACAGGCTTCTGTGGTTTAGCCCGCAGCGCCACCACGTCCCTTTAGTAGTAGGAGTAGGAGTAATCAAACAGTAAAAGTTTGGTATGAAAATCATTGTATATTACGTAATTTTCTTTAATTTTTATGAAGTGTACAATTTTTCAGCATATGTAATACCTTCTGATTTCCTGTGATATTTATCCTAACTGTAATTGGGGAATTAATACTTAAATGTTTCAATCTTACCTCCTGTTTCCAATGACTGTTTATCAACTTTTTCATGTTTGCAGGATGTAGAAAATATATTCAGTCGAATATCAGATATTCATGAACTTAGTGTAAAGTTGTTGGGCCTTATTGAAGACACAGTGGAAATGACAGATGAAGGCAGTCCCCATCCTTTAGTTGGAAGCTGTTTTGAAGATTTGGCTGAGGTAGGCAACAGTACCCATACATTTATTGCCCATGCTGTTGTGCTACTGATAAATATTGTATTTTTAATGTGAATATTTAAAATGCCGTATTATGAGCAATTGTCATTCACTACTGGATTAAACTGTGTTGTGCTGTTAATGAATTTATTAAATTGTTGGAAAACAGCCTACAATGCTGACTTCTCAGTTAAATACTGTATTTGAATTTATGATTGTCTTTTTTTCATGATTAACTTGGAAACAGTGTTTGAGTCAACTTAAATATTCTATAATTCTTCATTTAGGAGCTAGCATTTGATTCTTATGAACCATACACTCAAGATATATTACGGCCTGGCTTCCATGACCATTTTCTCAGCCAATTATCAAAGCCTGGGGCAGCATTCTATTTACAGGTATGTTAAGTGAGACAGTGGACACAGCTGATGTTGTTGTAATAAGACTTGATCAATAAGATTGAAACTTTTTTTTAATTTTCAGTCAATAGGAGATGGTTTTAAAGAAGCTGTTCAGTATGTTTTACCCAGGCTACTACTAGTTCCTGTTTATCATTGCCTTCACTATTTTGAAGTTTTAAAGGTAAGAATGAAATATTTCCATCTAGTTTCATAAAGATATTTTTCCTATTATGTTCGGAATAAACTGTCAATACAACATTGTTAAAAAACAACTCCAGCGTCTTTCATGGGTTTCATGTTGTATATAATAACTAAATCCATTTGAATCAATGGAATTTACAGAGAGGTTGAGTCACTGAATCAGTATAGCATGATTTACTATGCTGTGCAACAGGATTTTAGACAATAGTTCAGTGTTGTTGTTTAGTCATTAAGTCGTGTCTGACTCTTCATGACCCCATGGACCAGAGCACGCCAGGCCATCCTGTCTTCCACTGACTCCTGTAGTTGGGTCAAATTCATGTTGGTAGCTTCAGTGACACTGTCCAAGCATCTTGTCCTCTGTCGTCCCCTTTTCCTCTTGCCTTCACACTTTCCCAACATCAAGGTCTTTTCCAGGGAGTCTTCTCTTCTCATGAGATGGCCAAAGTATTGGAGCCTTAGCTTCAGGATCTGTCGTTCCAGTCAGCACTCAGGGTTGATTTCCTTCAAAATGGATAGGTTTGTTCTCCTTGCAGTCCAGGGGACTCTCGAGAGCCTCCTCCAGCACCACAGTTCAAAAGCATCAATTCTTCGGCGGTCAGCCTTCTTTATGGTCCAGCTCTCGCTTCTATACATCGCTACTGGAAAAACTATAGTTTTGACTATGCAGATCTTTGACTGCAAGGTGATGTCTCTGCTTTTTAAGATGCTGTCAAGGTTTGTCATTGCTTTCCTCCCAAGAAGCAGGCATCTTCTAATTCTGTGGCTGCTGTCACCATCGGCAGGGATCATGGAGCCCAAGAAAGTAAAATCTGTCACTGCCTCCATATCTTCCCCTTCTATTTCCCAGGAGGTGATGGGACCAGTGGCCATGATCTTAGTTTTTTTGATGTTGAGTTTCAAAGCATTTTTTGTGCTCTCCTCTTTCATCCTCATTAAGAGGTTCTTTAATTCCTCCTCACTTTCTGCCATCAGAGTGGTATCATCTGCATATC